ACTGACAGACAGACAGACACACTTACGGGGACAACTACCCGCGAACCTCGCGATGCGCATGCGCGCCGAGGGTTAATACGATAGCTTTAGCAATTATCAATAGCTATGTATAGTAATTTCACCATATATATTTTCCTGGTGAAGTATGGTGGGGAAGCGACGGAACCATATGACAAGCGGCTTCGTTCAATCTTTAGGGCGCGTGTATGAAGATACATGGTTGTCTGAACACACTCACAGAGAGTTGGCCCACTTAGAGTATGGTCTCCTCCAGCATACATACTCTCACGACCGGATTTTATCACTGCAGTGCAGTTTTCGTCCACTTCAATGGACTTCCAACGGTTGCGGTGCCATACCTGTGTCCTTGAGTATAATGTAACCAATGCCACGATAGTGTGCGCAGTTCTTGCTGCATTCTGATGTCCCCACCGATCAAGGTGAGGCAGATCAGGCTTTCTATGGCTAAATTAAGGACGGCTAAAGTAAAAAATTAATTGCGTTGCTTGACAAAACTGACTTGGGCGTTGACAACAGTCAGAGCCGTTGGATCCGCTGGAGTTTATAGTAATCTCATCAGTAGACCAACACTACCTTTTTAAACGGCAGTAGTGTGACGGACTTGGCATTTCGGTGCTTGTATTTATAGCGAAGGTTTTAAAACTGAGAGGGTAGTCATTTTCTGCCAGGACAATCACACGACCGTCGTAATCTATGTCTCTCTTAGGAAACTAAAACAATGGTCACAATTGGGTTATTCACATTGTGAGGTATATATATAAGAGTTCACAGCATCACATCCACAACTTTGTTGAGTCGATCTGCAGTTATCTCCCACCCTTCATCATTCCGCGCTGGAAGGAGAGCACACATGCACTGGAACTTCCAAGACACGGGAATCTCTTGATCTGTGAGATACTGAGGTCTGTTTCCACACTCCTCTCCATGCATCTCTGAAATTCTGGAGGAGAAAAGAGAAAAAATGCAACTTTGTGCTTCCAGTTTTTCTAGAGCTAGCTTAAACTCCTTCCAAGTTGTGTTGTGCAGGCAGAACTAAAATAGAGCTCAATCCCCTTGGTGGCAGTCAGTTACGAGACACCAATGATTAATGACGACCCAAATTACCGTCATGTAGACCTCGTTGCCGACGAAGTGACATTGAAATACCAGACATGTCGTGTGCTACAAATTGCGTCGTAGAGGAAACTGAACATCCAACAGCATAGCGGTTTTCGATGACAACAGTGTATACATGAACAGCATTGTCACTGACAGCCACCACTAAGTGAACAGTACCTACCAATTTTGACAGTGTCGGTTCGCTTTGGTGTCTCCAGCGTTAAGGAAGAAAGCCCATATGACTTTGTTATCAGGCTCCGCCATGCTCTCTCCAACGTTGAACTTTCCGGCTGCGGGTATTGGGATAAACCGAACCTCTTTACTTCCGTCTCTGGAGGTTGTGCAATGCAGAAATAATTTCTCTCCGCTTGCTCGCTGCTTTCGATATTCACATTGTGCTCCAGTAAAACTTCAAGTTCTTTCTTGAGAGGATTGTTGGAAGCAATGTAGTAGATTGGACTGAGGGATTTGTAGCCGTCGGGATAGACAAAGGACTCAGGTGTGCATGTTGTGACGGCAAAAGTTGTAGGAGCACCGGTCTGCTGCAATGCCTCAGGAGGAACCTTTAGGGCGATCCCGAGGCCACGAGGAGCGATAGTGACTGTGTTCTCGCTGGGTGTGACTTCGACTTTCACCGCCTTGTTCTTGAAGCAGTCCATTGGAGGAAGGGCAACATCGTCAGCATGATGTAGGGTAGTGGTTGTGGCTGTGAATAAAGCTCACTTTACTCTATCCTGGTATACATTATGTGATAATCCTCACAGTTTTTAGTCTCACACTTTTATACAGGGTTAGCCTATACACATGTAGTCTAATGGAAAACGAACACACACACTGGGACCATGAAAGTTGTTGTTTATTTGAGGAAAGCGTTCTTTGCAGGTTAATTTTGGGGCTTACCATATACTACAATTGCCCACCTGCCTCTCCTTCCATGTTTAGAAGCAGTTGAGATTTGATCTGCACACATTTACCAGAGACGTCCACTGCTCCCCATAGGGGCACATCTACTGGGAGATCAGACTCCATCTTCTTTTTATGTTTCCCATCAAAGTAGATGTGGAGCTCTCCATTTGGAGTGAGGTAGAGGCAGAGGGATTTGCTGATGCTAGTTTCCCAGAGAAGTGGAAGATTTTGAGCCAAAGAACCAGCTCGTTGCCTCATATCACCCGCCTCACTAAAAGTATAGAGCAAAATTGTATAACCTAGCTACCCTTGTGCGATCTACAAATTGGGTGTCTGGTCAAGTTATGTACTGTAAATCCAGAAATGTTGGCATCCATTAATTGTAGTGCTTTCACCAATAGGTCACTCTTGGAGTCCATTAATTTTGCCGCGTTATAAAGTTAATCACACTTAGAGCGTGGTATTAATTCGCGCATCGTCGATGCGTCCATGCGCGGACTGCGCACATTCCGAGTCGAGCGAATTTACTTTTCTCCTGGACTCTAAAGTTGGCGCTTATGCGCACTGGCTCACTTACGTTGGGCCGGGCGCCCCAACGGTCTGCGAAGTACATACTAGAGGCGAGCCATGTCGACGTCCTCCCTCGAGGGGCAAGCTCAAGGTCGAGACCGCGTAAGAAGAGAAAGAGGAAACGACACTTCCCGCGAGAGACAAGCAGGGCGCTCGTTCGCTGAGGTTTCAGATTGCACCGAAGTTGAATTGCCCGCGCACGGGTTCGCCATAGCTCTAAACAAGTTAGACGCCTCGTCCATGGAAAACTCGCGCATTAGAGCGCAGTTGGGGGCCTAGTGAGCGTCCTCGCTGCGCTCGAACGCCAACACAGCCAGGGACGCGGCTCTTCTAATGCGCGTAGTTTCCTGGACTCGGCATCTAAACTTATATATTATACATACAGTTATCCTGTTAGCGTCCTTTTCCTCGCCAAATTCGCCAAAATTAATGGCGCGCCAACAGAGGAAATTCTGTCACCATTTTATGCAGAGAAAAGATGCCTACACACATCACACTATACATCAATGTATGCAGTGTGTGCACATGTGGTAGGAGTAGAATGCATGGCAAACAAGTCAACACACCCAGGACGGCTCTTCTTTTAATTAAAAGAAAAGAAGAAGAAGAGTTGCCCCGAGTGGGATTCGAACCACGACATTCTGCAGTCTAAGCTACAGGCAACTCAGTGGTACGGGTATATACAACGCACACAAAGGCACACCTCAAACCACTGTGCTATGGCACAGTAGACTCTCACTGTGTAACATTGACATGACTTATTGGACCTACTTATGCTGAACTCTTTACCTTTCAGCTGCCATGATTCGGATCTCCTAGTTGAAGTCCTTCTTGGTTTTAATGAGGGGAAGAGTGGGAGTAATTTGTTCTGTAGAGCAGTAGTAAGGTCCAATGGTCTATCAAAACAAGATGAATGATGTGACATACTAGTGGAAATGCTTGGCCTGTGACACAACCACACGCTATACATCAATGTATGCCGTGTATGCGCATGCTCTACACCATGTGTAGTGTGAGGTATTGACATGGCAACGCAAGGCTAACAAGGTCACTCGGCTATACCACAGCTCTTCTAAAAAGAGATTGCCCTGGGTGCATTCTAGCGGTCGATAGGCTTTGTTTTATAGCTTATGTATACCCGAGAAAATGTTCAGCAAGTACTGAAGTTATCTTTTGGTGTCTGTATGTTGTGTAGTGAAACTACCAGAAGAAAGTACGCAAACGCGGAACGGTAGTGTAGCCCGCGTTGCCTGCCCGCCCCGCTCTCGATCATCGTAATCGTCGCTGAAAAGACGAGCCTCGCTGTCTGTGAGTGACTTTCGACGGCCGGGCGCTCTGTCTGTCTACCTCTTTGAACAGAAGCGTATCAGTTGCTGGCGTGAACTGTATCCCAGGTGCGTATATCGGCGCATACAGCATAACTACGACGGCACCCCCGCTGCATTACATGCTATTTAGTTGTTGCTGGGCCTGAGTGCACGTGTACGAGGCGCTCTGTGTGTTCCTAAACTAATTCTCCACACACGCATAGGAATAGGTCCACGATATCTACATTTGCTGCATATGTAGGATTGTGAGCTACGACGACATTTATAGAGCGGACCATGACATCTTATCCATCGACCAAGACATTTATATATCGTACCGTGACATGTATGACTCCACTGCATGTATTGACCGCGAGGCGTGCAACGACGCTTGAGTGCCTAATTCATAAGAACGAGTCAGGTTTTAGGTGGATTTGACGCATGCGCACGCCACACCCGCCCTTGCTAGCTGGCTATGCAGCTTCAGTTCCTGATCGTCTTCGTCATGATTTTATAGGTCGTCGTCACATCTCCTAATATGTGCCGCAAATTTATATGTGGACATACGTACCTATGCATTTTTGGAGAATGAGTTTTGCCAACCGGCGCCTCGTATACCAAGTGTGATAACGTTGGCCAGTTATGCCCTAACGCCTAACAGTTTTGTGCCAACATAGTCCACTAGAGATTGTTCTAGGCTGCCACTCCCAAGAGCTTGTGCACGTTTTGTTGCCAGGGGGATGTATATACCTTAGATATTTAGGCAAAGGAAACATGTGGAATGTGTAGGATTGTTCAGTGTACGTATATACTGACGGGTAACTGACGGGTACTACAGTTACGCTAAAACAAGAATAAACAGTATCTAAACCATGGAACACTCAGTAACCATTACTGTACGTTTCAACACCCTTTGCACTCTCTTTCTTCATTCCCTTCTCTTCTCACACCACACTTTCACGCACAGTTAGCTAGCTAAACCCATTAATAAACACGTTCTCTGCCAGCTCTCTTTTTCTTTTGTGTGTGTAGCTACGGAATTTTCACTTACCAGTCCTCTTTGCCAACACTCGGTAGTTTCAACAGCTCTAGTACGCCACGCCGTGTAGTTGGTATGGTGTCTCTAGTGTACGCTATGCAGCATCTTTGTGCTCGTCGAATTTCATCCGTCCAACGACGGTCGGCGAACCGTAAAGTTGTCCCAAAATTCAGCTCTCTCTCCATTGCTTGGCAGCATGAGGGGCATCGCCGGACCGACCAATGCGTCAAACTGAGTGGACACGGCTTGCTCCGGTGTGCTCATAGGTATATAGTCTGTACGAAAAGAGCTGGTGTGAGGGGTATGGGTATGCGGCTATGATATCTACTCCAGATCCGCCATCTAAGCTCGCGATCGCGATCAGGGTGTGGCAGGCGCTCCGTGAATCATCGTCTATAATGTCAACGCGTGATACCGACTCACTCGAGAGAGCAATATCTTGCACTCACACTCGAAGAAACCTTTGCTGTGTTGCTCCAACGATAATACTGATGTTGAACATTGTTGGCGAGCGGGAGCGACCCAACTTGGGATTGCCGCGATGTCGGGCTGCATAACGTGCCGTCAGCGTACGCTTCCTTTCGTAAGCAAGACAGAGCTACCTGTCGCCCGCCGTTACAAAGTAATACAGTATACGCATGTAACGGCGGGCGACAGTAGCTCTGTCTTGCTTCACGAAAGGAAAGAACGGTGAGCAGGTGAGCAGAACGACTTTCTACCTACCAACCATCAGCTTTTTTGCTTGATAATCAAGCAAAAAATACTGCCTATCCCACCAAAAATAGCAAAATCCCTCTTTTTTTTGCTAACCTGTGATGCATCATGCCCATACATTTTGAATGCATTTTCAAGCAAAAATACTCCAAATCAAGCAAATTCGACACATTTTTCTTTATCTGCAGGTTGGTAGGTATGCGCCTTACGCTTCAACTCGTACTGTCGTGGTCACCAGGCAGATGGAATGGCAGTAGGCTAAGGCAGCGATCGATCGGGCTGGTTAACTACGCGGCGAGTGTGGCATACCTGTCGCCGTTACATGCGTACTGTATATTGTCAGAACGTGAGCAGAACGGTACTTATCTTACGCTTTCAACTCGTCTGTCGTGGTCCACCAGGCAGCTGGCATGGCAGTAGACTAAGTCGGTCAGGCAACTATATACGCGGCGTGTGTGATAATGCTGACGATGCGAAATTTCATTCCGTATTTAGAATCACGTAGTGTGCAGTACAGTGCCGTGGTGCCTCCCGTCACATAAGGTAGACACGGAGCCGCGGGAAACTACGCGGGAGCCGAGGAGTCCCTGAGCTGTCGGCGTCCCGAGTGCAGCGAGGGCGCTACCAAGGGCTCCGAGGATCACTAAATCACGTAGTTTCCCAGGCGACGCGTCTAACCGGCTTAGACTACAGCGCAAGTCCGTCCCGCTGCAGTGTCCGTTCACTCCGTATGTTAGGCGTCGGGATCGCGCCGCCGCCCGTTTTGCACGCGTTTTCCCTGCACGCTTTCTCTAGCGTCTTCCAGCTCTCTAGTAGTCATGCGCTGCTGCTAGAAGAGCCTGTTGCCTGGTTTCTTCGTGGGAAGAACCGCTCAGAAGCTCGGTCGCCGTCCGCACGCGTGGCGTTCTTTTCGAATTGAAGGCGTGGTTGCCGGGGGCTATATACATATACCGCGGAAGAGGTAACTAACAAATTAGTTACCGCTAAACTCCCAATCTGATGGTAAATTGCGTGTTACCGTAGTCTAATTGGCGAGCGGGAGCGAGCTAACCTAGTGGTATATACGAACGGCGCGGATTTTTTATCTACGACCGTACATCGTCCAACTGCGCATGCTCCAAGATTACGCGCTTCTTTTTATCCGAAAGGATTTGTAAATTTCACATGCTGCCTGCCTGTCGTAATGTCGTGCGTATACATGTACGTGCGTATACGCTGCTTCGTACTCTCGCAATCATGGAAGGATCAGTCCAGAGAAGATGCCCTTCGTCGTCGAAGAGAGAGGGAGAACGTCGTGCCCGTGAGACTCCTGAGCAGAGAGGCTCGTTTGTATCAGCGTCGCTTTCGTGATAGGGAACGCGCAAATTTTTACACGCTGCCCTAGCTTTCATATCGATGCAAAATATAGCCAGCCAAAGAACTCTCGTCTATTTGCTGGCATTCGCTGCGCTCTTCGATACCTGACCGAGGCTGTCCATACATCCTTCCAATCTTCGTGATTCTAAGGTTCAAGTTGTAGGATGGCTCGTGCAGATAGAGTCATTGTGTGCTCGCTCCCGCTCGCCAAAAATGCCATGCATTCGCTTACTAGTATATAAAAAATATATATTACTTAAAAATCCTGCGAATCCCACAGGTCATTACAACAGCCCTATATCGTCGTAAAGAGTATTCTGCCCAGACACATCTCATGCCTCGAACACGTTTGTGCAAACCACCCAAGCGAAATGGAGAACCTTTCATATGATCATATTATTTCCCTTCTCATAAATGCAGAATCTGCTGTCTCTATTTTTTATTCATCATGTAAACGTGTGCCATACAGCAGCTGCTTTTGGACCCTTAAACACAGTAATTAAATTGTTGTCACAATATTGTTTGCTTGTGCATATGCCCGGTGGGTCACTGCCATTATTATTATTATTATGTATGCGTTTACTCGCGGTCTCCCGCAAGATAGCTCGCAGAGAGTGTGGCTACAGTAGTAGATTAGCATGCGAGAGTCGATACACGCCCTTCGTTGTGACTTCTTGTGCCTTCAAAATACACAGAGCAAGCAGACCCGGTCCTGTGCTAAATATAAGCGCATGCGCATTTTCCGCAGCGATAAAAATGGCCGACTACGCATTAGCCGTACAATGGTGGAAGCGCTCTAGCTTTGCAACGGAGCGTTTTCAGAGAAAACCGTTCGAAATTTCTGGCCTTCATTGCCCGTTCGGTAGGTGGTATCCTTTGTGAGGCGAAAGAACACTCGAGAAGTGAGATGAAGAGTAACAGACACACAGACTTTGGAAAATGTAGATGACGACTAAGAGTCCGAGGCAATAAATACATGTTACTTTTTATATGGACATTATGCCCCAATGCATGTGCATGCAGTAAAAAAAGGAAAGGAGACAAGTAAATAAAAAATTCTGCGAATTAAAAAAGTGTGGAATATAGGGATGCCATAAAAAGCAAGGAGACAAGACAGGGATGACCTAGTGTATGTGATGCATTAGTACAGTGGGATGATGGTTACATCTTCAAACTGACATTGCTTGCTCGTGTAAATCTTCCTCCACACAAGCCCTATATTGTCGCCACTTTTCTCACAACATGAATTTGTTTAGTGTGAGGACAATGGTGAGGCTGAGACACATCGATCCACTCGTGCATAAGAAACGAGTCATAGCTGCACATCATACAATAGAGATCACTCGTGCTAGCAAGAGATTTTAATGACAGTGCATTTAGCCGGCACTCTTTAGTCGAGTCCCCTCTCTCAAGAATATTAAGACCAGTCTGTAAAAGGATTCTCTGGCGGGCCATGAACACAGCATTGTAAAACTCATCGTTAGTTGAGCGAACACCGAAGTCTTAGACTGCACACAATGCAGTCACAACCAAAAACTGAGGAGCTGTCAGAGAGGGCAACACCTGTGCATCACGTGCTTAAGAGATGAGTCATTCTATGAGGGAGCACAGTCATGCTTTGCGACAATATAGGGCTTGTGTGGAGGAAGATTTACACGAGCAAGCAATGTCAGTTTGAAAATGTAACCATCATTCCATTGTACTACTGCATCACATACACTAGGTCATCCCTGTCTTGTCTCCTTGCTTTTTATGGCATCCCTATAATCCACACTTTTTTAATTCGCAGAATTTTTTAATACTAAGTACTACCGTACTTAGTGATTATAATATAAAAATCCGCTCGAACGAACGTCTAGGTTGGCTCGCTCCCGCTCGCCAACAACACAACACACTTCAAATGATCTCTATGTTGGCTTTGAACTGTTGTAGCCACTGAGACGCAAGGTCAGAGTTCAAGACACGAGAATCGCACGAGAGGCAGACTGCAACCGTGGCTGATGATTCTTCTTCACTGAACGTCTTCTGAACACCTGAGATTGAAAGATACCGTGATACTCTAGTGGAAATCATGTATAGCTAATGGTCTGATTTCCATTTGTGTAGCAACAAAGACAGATAAAGCTTGGGGGATTCTGTTACTAACAACACACACATGTCTAAACTTGAAAGGCCACAGTAAAGAACAGATTGGTAGTATTATACTGCCATATTGAGACTAATGATGATGTATCTTTGCCCTACAAAAGATATAGGCTTTGTGGCACTTCATAGATGCATGCTTCTCCAGTCCCATACATAACTGTAATACTGTGAGGGAATTATATTATACCGGCAGTTAAATGCTGTGGTACAATATTGTAGATCTTCAACTAACCAGCTAGAGATAGGGCAGCAGAGTGGGGAGATTGGACCAAGTCAGTGTAGTGAGAGAGAGACGATGACACGAGACTAGACACCCTGCAGGGAATATGATAACCATAGGTCCTGCTATTAATGCGTTTGTGTAAACGTTCCACCAAAATTAATATGGATAAAATCTATGTTCCACTGCACATACACCACAGTATTGAGTATGCATTTTCTAAGGAAAACATACATTAGTGATGCTGATGTGACTGGTGGCGATGATCCATCCTCAGTCCCAGCCGTAGCTCTCTCTATTACTGACGCTATACTCTGGACACTGGCTCTATTAGCATCCCTGATAATTACAGGAGTCGGCAGTAATATCCCCTCAGACAATACTCTGACTGATATATTGACAGATGGAAGCAGGAGGGGTCCGTCTTCATTCCATACCGCATTGGAATGTGGGAATTGCTGCAAGAAGAATGCAATTTAGCTTTTGGTTAAAATCTACTTTTTTTTTAGTCTTTCTATGATTTTTGCCATCCACTATTAAGGCTGTGACAACTATCATGCGCAGCAACATAATATGCAATTTGCTGTATTAAAGGGAATGTTGCTAAATTTAGATACTGTTACTAAAAAAGGAAAATCAATTGCATTCTTTCGCTGGGCCTTTTTGTTAAGCGAAATTTTTTATTTTTAGTATAAATCTAGCCATCTAGCCCTTATGTCCTGACACATTTCCTTCAATGTCCTCTAGAACTGCTAAATCAATGTCTGTTTGAAACGTCCTATATACCTCCAACTGAAAACGTGCAAATTTCCCAAACATTTTACCTTCAAAGTTGATGCAGCTGCCTTTATGAAGTGGCTCTCCAATAGTAACATTGCCCTCTCTCTCCCTGTGGAAATTGATGAAGATGTTACATCAATCCCAATGCAGCATTTGATTGTGGCTTGTGATTGTGAAAATTACATACAGTGGAACCTACGAACAAGGGACACTATGGGCCAACGAATTTGTCCCTTGTAGAGAGGGCGAAAACATAAAGATTAGTTTAGCTACCAGATGTTGGTGGTTTACCATTGTGTTGTAGAGACGATAGAAGAGGCCCGACCTGACAGTGAATGGAAGCTGAGCTGTGCGGAAGACTCATCTGCAAAATACGTGACAAAAAGACAACTCAACCCAAATCTATATGCAACCTGCATTGCACCCACTCCATGACATAATAATTATAATAGTGTGCACAACTTGCTAGTTGCGAGCTACCGTGATCGCGCATACAAGTAAGCATCGTGGTGTGGATGGTGCCGTCTATACACAAATAGAGCACAGACGCCAAGTGTATTTCAAAAATAGCCTCAGGCATTTTGCATTGAAAATGACTTTACTTGCCCAGCTAAAACTAAGACTGAAGAGTGCTATCTATTCTAGTCCCAACTCTGTCATCTTGCATACAAATGAAGGTAGAAACATGCCTTGGATTGTACTGAAGTAAAGGCCCGAGATCTGTGGCTATCATCAACTGCAACATCTGTGAATTTCGCCTGCAATAAAGATATACACACAGCTTGCTACATAATTATGTACATAGTGTCTACTTAAAGTTCTGTACCTTAGAGGTGTGTGGGGTTGGTTGGCTTGGTTTGAGAGAGGAAGAAGGAGGGAGAGAAGAGGGAGGAGACAGTGATGTTGATGATGGTGGTCGCTTTGTAGGTTTCAGTGATGAAGCCTCTCCACTACCGTCCATACCAGTCTCCATATACCACAGTACATCACTGCACAGTTAAGGAATCTATAGCTCACATACTACTAGCTATACTCTAGTACATAATCCTATGTAAATGCCGCTGTCTGAAATGCACACTTTGTAAAAAGTGGAACCTTTCCAGTTCAGACCAAAATAAGAGAAAAATAAGGTGTCCTTATTATGGAGGTTTAATTGCATGCACAAACTGTTATTGGGGGGAAAACAGTGTCCTTATTAGAGAGATGTCGTCATTTAAGGGGTAACCCAATACATCAGGCTGTATGTTAATTACACACCCTTTGAGCAGTCTGGAATGGGGACCAGAGGCTGGAATGAGACTGGGGTCCAGGGAATTGGTATCCACCAGATATCTCACGGCTGGAGACAACGGCACACTCCTGGAATGGTGAATATAAATAAGCCCACAAATTAACGAAAACCACTAAAGTGCAAACGCTCGGCGAACTGCGCATGCACAGTACCACTAATTGATGGGCTGGGCTATGACTGCGTGATTTATACTCGTGGTCTCCCGCTAGTATATAGCTCGCGGAGAGTCTGAGAGAGGCTAGCTACTGTTGTTGTTGTCTCACTACGGATAGACAGAAAGAAAGACAGACACATTTATGAACCAAGCATCGAAACCCTCACTACACATGCACACCGAGGGTTATTAACATAGTTTTCACAGGAAAGAGAAAGAATCAGTTTTAGGCAATAGCGCTACTTATAGCTTTCCACTATACCCATGGCATACAAGTAGACACCAATATGTGTAGCTTTAGTGTCTAATGTTGTGTGATGTGTGCTGAGAACGCATGTGTTGTGCTATGCGAAGGCTACACAGATCCCGAGGTTATAAAGAGGCCAGCCAGTCAAAAGGAAGATATAGAGCTCGAGGTCCCACTACTAACGTTGAAGGGATCAGGGTTGGGCCGGCCGACAAGAGCCGCGGAGTCGCTACAGCTTGTCCGCCTCTGTATGCAGCCGCCGCTACTCTGACCAGACGCTGTCCACGGCGAACCCACGTCATCTTTCAGGAAACTCTGGGTTCGGCACGGCAGAGGCCTACGAGAGCTTCGAACAATTCACTGCAGGGATGCGAGGTCAAAGGTTGACGGTTGATGTGGGCGGATACATATTTTCGCGCATGCGCTGAAAATCGCACTCGCAAAGGCGGTTTGATAATGGAAAGGAGCAAATTCCTTTTGAGCTTTGATGAATATTAGCGTCGGGGCAGTAGTTAATGAAACAGGAAAGAGAACAGATGCCCCGTGCTAATGATTCTTATGGTTTTATGACCGACACCGCAAAGAATGCGCCTTCAAAGCAAAATATTTCGCAGGTCTAACAAACGTTGATTGATTCCGCGCATTGAATGCATGGGCATGAAGCATGCAGCTATATAGCTAGCTAGAGGGGAATCTGCGTGCGCACGTGATGCCAGAATTCCGTAAGCCGGCGAGTAATAAAAGGCGACCGTGCCAGACACGGAACTCGCGCACTTCGCAAGCCAGCACCGCCCGACATCGACCGTTCAGTACCTGGCCTTCCCGTCGCCGCCTGACCGATTCAGCTGCCGTATTTCCAGTCCTTGAAGCAGGTATGTGCTCTGCGATTCCATATCGCGAGGATGCAAGTTGTTTTCGCGGAGAAATCCATAGTGTGCTAGCTAGGCTATGGTGTGCACGCGGAGAAATGCACTAGCTCAGCTAGCTAGCTAGGCTAATGGTGTGCACGCGGCTGGTAGCTGGAAAACGACGTAGCTGCAGAGTTTTTGCGTAGCAAGCTATAGCGAGCTACTGACGAAATCCATAATGTTTCCGAAGGGGAAATATTCTGAACTATTTTTTACAACATTTCGCATTTCATGTGGCATATAATTATTATATTATAGGCAGCTACAATTATGGAATATTATTAGCTATAATTATTATAGTCACCAATTTATATAGTTTTGTGCACAAGTATGCTTTTGTACAATGCCGTGTTACAGTTAGCCTCTGTTTAGTTATAATTCTCAGAATTGAAAGTGTGGGAGAAAATGTGGGAATGTGTTTCGTGGGTTTCCAAGTGAAAGACGCTCCGCCTCCTAGTCGGTTGTCACACTTTCAGGCATGCAAAATGTAAGATGAGCTGCCTGTGCATGTATGCTAACTTCACTTTCAATTGATATATTATAGCTGTTGCTGTACACGCATGTGCATGATAATGAGTAAGTTTATACATACTAGGGATGAGAGAAGGCACAGCTTTCGCCTGGAAGCTGCTCAGTAGCTAGTTAGGTGGACTGGATGTTAGTTGCACTCCTGAAGAAGCTGGTTCTTTTCTCTCTGACCAGTGTGTAGAGCAATATTACACTCTATCCTTCTACATACATATTTCCCTGCCAACCAGCGACTTTACTCTGAGTCTATGATTATCAAAATCTCACAATCTTTCCTTTCCCCCTATTAGCTTCAGTGTGTGTGTGTGTGTGTGTCTACACTGGCTGAAGCTTGACCTGCTGACCTCAAATGGCAATGGCACTTTACGAACCAGGTATATTGCACAACTTATTAGCTGTAGCTACTGGTTTCCCTATGTACAGAGAGTGAGTACGGATGTTTACTGCCAGAGGTGTATCAGTTGTACGTGTAGGTAAAACATGCATCTCTAGTAGATAGCTGCACGTGATTCTGTTTGCTGTAGACATGATTGGGACTATCAGGATCGTGTCAAACTTTATGTTGAAATTGTACATACCTCAGATCTCACATAATTGACAATGGAAAGCTTTCCTTTAAAATGCCACTTAGAAACATATCTGTATTATAAAGTTACATTGTGTCCAACCACCAAACCTACAACAAAAGAGCATAATTATTATGTCCACCAAACTGCTGGATTTATAATTCGTTAGCTTCATCATGGCGTCTGACTCTAAGAGTTTGAACGAGAGAATGAGGGTACAGGCAGAATACCTCCCATGCTAAAAGGCTTCCTGGGGCGTTTGTACGAGGCGAACATTCCGTGCTGTACCAGGCAGAGAGCTATCTTGTCTGTTGTCACTGCTAATTAAGACTCCTCCACCTTAGTCCACTGGTTTCTCTGTGTGTTGTGTTAGCTACGTGGTGTGCAATGTCCACTGAATCAGGTTGCATTCCTTTAGAGCTTATATGTACTTATACAAAGGCTTCACATTGCCATGTGTGTGTGTGTGTTTCTATTCAGCCATAATATGGGCTGCTTCCTGTTTGAGAGGATGTGTATGACATAAAGCGATGCTCAGAGCACAGAGACTTACACTTGGCTAGGCCAGTATGAAGAGTGTGTGTGTAAGGCGAAATTGGCCAAAAGAGCAGAAGAAATGATTATTGTTGCATTGACCTGGGTGAAATAGAACAGTGTGTGTGTGTGTGTGTGTGTGTGCTGTACTATGCAATAAACATCCTTTACACTCTACATTCATGGGTATGTATGTACTTCTTTATCCTGCTTCATCAAGTTAACAGCATACACCTGAACCTACGTAAGACAAGTGCATGCACACATTATAGCTACACCGCAAGTTGGGAGGTTACGAGGAGAACAAGCAGTAAAGTGTTGGGAATGCACGCAGTGGTCATAGCTTGGTTACACAGGCAGCCTTGAAGCCATTATCACATTAGCGCATTACATCATTGTAATTCACACCACCCTACCTATTGGAAACACACACAAACACTATATACATGCTGCAGTACATACAGTAGTAGACCTGCTTCATTTAGACATCCTGTGCATGTGAAGACTGCTACATATTCTGTTCTTAAAAGGATATAGCTATGTAAGTGAGCTGGTGGGAACTCGGCAGGTTGTTGGTGGTGGGGCATTATGTGTGACATAGCTTCATGCTCTCTGGTTGCCTGGCTGTAGAATGCTCTGAATTAGCTAATGGATGCTTCGCAACTCTTGCAGTGTATGGCTAGGATGCTTGCACGGCGCGATGTACTCCAAGCAACGAGAGGATGCCTTGCATAGTCCAAGCAACAAGAAACGCGCAAGTAATGTGTGGCACTGCCCAAGCCGCGTGCAGTCTACAATGTGACAGAAAATTAAAGTGCTACAACATGTTGCTGATCATTAATAACCCTTTGGACACCATGGGGATCTGCTTAAATAAGCAGAAATTGATGCATAGTGTATTAGTGCCTAGTATTATAACCCCATACAAATTCTTATGGACTTATGGAGGCTCTGGACACATTATGTGTCCGTGGCTGGTTAAGTGTTAAAGGGAATGTGGCAGTATATAAGGCCTAAAATGTAGAAATGTTACTAAAGAAAAATAGGGGCACTGTGAAACGATGCAATTGAGTTCCATTTTTAGTAACATTTATAACTGCCACATTCCAAACTCAAAGCACTGGGCACAATCAGTGTAACTAACTTGCATAAAGTTGTTTGTGTCTAAGAGGGTAACTAGATACATTGTAAAATGGTTTATATGTATTATACACACTGGCAATCTTCCTTCAGTTTCAGTGGTGATGCCTCTTCGACTTTGCTCAACTCCAGAGAGCATGGATGAGAAATCCTCTGAAAGTAAGCACCTTGATAGCTAGCTAGCTATATACCTCGTGTAAAACACTTTGTGTATGCAACTTACATCATTATTATTCGGAACATAACATAAGTATTCACTCTTAAGTAAGTATAAAGCTATTCCCTACACAAGAAAGCCCCAAGTAGTTAATGTTAATACAAGCTAGGGTCTAAGTTAGTTTAGATGAGTACATTTTCCCTTATAAATGCTATCTTTCCTAAATTCTGCAGGTGATATGTCAAGAAGCAACTCACCAAGAAACACGTAAGATAATTACATTTTTTTACTTCATGAGTGGACGACTGCAACTCTCTCCTTATAGCCAAGAACTCATTTCTAGCGAAGATCACGAAATTTCAAGTCAGAGTGAAACCAGCAGTCATAGGAGACAGTCGCAATCTCCACCTCCCTATTACATCACATCCACCACCTCTCCGACTGCCAATAATTCAAGCTCTCACTCACCTGCCCCTCGCATTACCACGTCTAATGAGAACGGCTCCAGTGTTAAAGGATCACAGCGCAATCCAAAAGCTTTGGACGCAAACAGTACCAACGAGCGATCCATCTCCAACCAGGCCCCACTCTATTCCTCATCATCATCAACTGCAAACCCGCTCGCAACTGCCCTGTCTTCTGTCTCAGGCTCCATTACGTCATCGCTACCCCCGGCCTCTATCAGTATTTCCAGACAGGGTTCAAGAGTCTCGTCACTGGCAAGGTCTTGTCAACCTAGTCCCGTGTCCAGTGTAGCTTCTGGGGGTGGACACTCCCTACATCCCTCCATGTTACTGGCACAGAACGAGACAACTACTACAAAGGCAGCCGAGACCAACAACAACAACAACATGCTAACCCTCGGCAGCTACGTGCAGTTTATGACATTGGTGAGTGTGAATTTGACATTCATTTGTTTTTATATCTGTTTAACGCTTCGTTCAAAACGAAATTAGTGTTTTTCCACTCTGTCTAAAAATCGGGGCCTCTGTATGTGTGAAAAAAAAACTGGCGGTCCGACGGCCGGGTATGGGTACGACGCTTCAGCGCCATCCATTTTCAGGGCTAGTTGATTCGGCAGGTGAGTTGTTACACACTCCTTAGCGGATTCCGACTTCCATGGCCACCGTCCTGCTGTCTAGATCAACCAACACACCTCTCCTCGGGGTGGCTACTATGTAGACCTACATAATAACACTGTCAGGCACACAAACTGGCTAGGCGCAAATGCTAACTAAAGTTTAAAGAGATGTACTAGCAAGCTATCTTAGTTTTTGCTGCCTGGAGACTGTGAATGTTGTCAGTATTTTAGTAGTGGCGACTTGTGAGCTTCATGACCAAAAATTTCTCCTCAAACAACAGACTTCTAGCAATTCTAAGATTGTGTAAAAGACGGCAAGTCTCTCTATAAAACATCTTGTCTACAACACACAATTTTATCAATCTACTCACATACATTTTCTTTACTAACCGACTTTATATACTACATTCACACACTCATATGATAATACAGCAACAGCAGAGTCAAATGGGTTATCCAGCCCTCCTGCAGTCAGCTTGTCTCCCTCCCTCAGTCGCCAACCCCCCAACGACCTTGCCCCCGCAATACGACACCAATTTCTCCCAATCCTACTCGCCCTCCCTCTCCACCTCTCTCCAATCGTTCGGCTGTGCAGCCGCCGGACTAATTCCACCACAATTAAACCAGGGGCTAATAGCAGTGGACATGCCTATGGCTGCAGCAGTACCATCATCTTCTGGTTCACAACATCATTCAAAGATCAATATCGGCGGGCTGGACCATCACCACAAGTTCATGGTCAGTGGACCTATACCTGGAGCACTCCCAAATCACGAAGTTGCGAGAGCTATCGGGGGAATGGGGTTGCCCCTGGTCGTTACCGGGCAGAGTGAGGGCGGAGACGGAGGCGGGGAGAATGGAGGGTACAAGAGAGCCAGGAAAAGAACTTACAGCCAAACAAACCAAGACATGCAAGGTATGCACAACCTTTACGGAGCAATTTTAAAGGGGTTTAACCTCAGGAGGTGCTTGATAATAGATTTTATGAATCATCTCTGAGCAAATGTAGCTACGTGCCTTTTAAGGATAACCAGTGAAAAGCTCCCACTTACGGTGGCAGATTTAATGAGGTTCTCCCTCATAATGTGAATAACTTTGCTTCCTCGGCCCACACAGATGGATTCAGTGGCAACATGAGACGATCGGTCTTCCCATCGGAAGACCACTGCACGATTGGTGACTCCTCCGGTGGTGGCAGTGGTCTCTCTTCGTCTGGTAGTGGTCCCAGTGGAGGGGGTGGGAGTGGGGGTCCACCGCAGCAACTCAAGTGGCAGGCACACCAGGTGGACACATGGCACGACCTCTGTGACGGAGTTCTACAAGATATGTAAGCACATTTCCCCATCTTATACCATCATTATTTGAGCTAATGATATTAGTTGTAAATCCTGAGTGTAACTATAACAGTTTGTAAAGCTGAATAATTATATTCGATCTTTAGTAACATTTCTGAATTAAGCTCTTATGTACTGTAACATTCCCTTGTCAAATGTAGCTATATCACTAGCAAACTGCGGATTACTGAGCCTAGTAAAATATAAGTGTAACTAATACAGTTTGTATGTGGGTTTGATATCTCATTATGCATTCTCAGACCACAGATTGGTTTCACAGTCGAGACGGACAAAGGTTTTGTCTTTTCTGTTGCCGACGATACGTTTGTCTGCCAAAAGAAGAATCATTTCCAGGTCTGCCTGCTTTCTAGCTAGCCACCCCTTCCTCCAAATCTATGAAATCATGCTTCACATCTTTCTTCCTCTTTCTCCAGGTGACTGTTACGGTTGTGTTCCACAGAGCACCCAAATTCATCAAGATAAAGGTAGAGTAGAAATGCGTAAAATTATACCTAATTAATATACTGCTCCCATAATTAGGGAGGATCAATCCAACCAGTGGACAAGTTCATGTTGTTTCTTCATGGAGTCAAGGTATATAAGACTTTTAGTTACCCCACGTGCTACCTGAAATCTTCAAGGAAATTTACCATAATAGGTGTTCCAGCTAAAAATCAAATGTATTAACATGCGCTACTTGAGGCAAATTTTATGTTACGTCAGATCCTGCCTCTGGTTTTATACCTGGGCATGCGATACAGAATCTGTACGGGCATATAATGAGAGTTACTTCGAAGTCTCTAGTTATGTCTTGGTTTAACTGTTGACATGTTTTGTGTGTTTTCTCTGCTCAGCTGGAGTCAGTCGGAAATACAATAAAACTGGAGCAGTCCATGACAGATCGCCGACGATCAAGTTTCATTCCTGTCGAGTAAGAAAATACATCTCGGTTTCTCCCATATTTTAAAGGGAATGTGTCAATCATTATAAAGGCTAAAATTAGAAACTGTTACTAAATGGAAACTTAATTGCATTCTTGCACTGAGTCCTATTGTTTAGTTCTATCTTTAGCAACACTTCTAAATTTAGCCCTTATATACTGCCAAGTTCCCTTTAATGGTATATGCAGAGGGAGTTCACTTGTTCTATGTACATATGTCTAGGGTTCCAGTACCAACTAATGCCAAAGAGCCTTCAAAACAAACCGTCTGCAGACTCCACTTTGGGTAATGAGCGATGCACGTATATACATTATTTTTATGTTGTTGCTAATGTATCTTGTTATAATGCAACAGAGAGACAACATCAAACAACATGAGAAAGAGAGGAAAACCCAACCCAGACCAAAAGTAAGTAGCTATACTAGCATTTATGGCAATAATTATTATAATAATGGTGGGTTCACCACCAGAGACACCACATACTTTACTTATGGCATACTTTTCTTATGGGACATACAGCTAGCCTTTGACTGATAAGGTGTCATGGTTAGCGAAGGATACCATCAGAACGGCAAAGTTGCAAGGATTCCAATGGTGCTAGCGTTTTTACAATTAGATGTAAGTTAAAAGTTAATGACAATTTCTCACGTGCTCAGAAAGTATTAAACCCTTTGGAGGTCATGGGTATCTGCTTAAATAAGCCTAGTATTATAACCCCCATATAAATTCTTATGGACTTATGGAGGCATTTGTGTCTGTGTGGCTGGTTAAGTATTAAGACTCACATTTGGTGTTTGTGCTGTTAGGTTCTTCTCCCTGGTGGTGGGACTGAACGCGATCTGTGAGCTTGGATCGTTCCCTGTCGTGGCCCACGTCTCTGAGAGAATCATTGTCAGGGTGAGTAGCTATACCTGTAGCCACTTCACCTCGAGCCTTAAAATTTCACAAGTAAAGCTGAAAGTTAAATGTAGCAGCTAAATATAGAAATGTTACTAAAGATATATACACACAATGCCCAGTGCAAGAATTAAGTTTCTGTTTTTTTCAGTTTTAGTTTAGCCCTTAGAAAGTTACATGTATATACTGTGATTAGAAAAGGTTTTTCTCACAGGTTTTAGCTATACGCTACATAGCAAGGTCTTTGTGTATGGAATGAAGAAGTTTGCATCTGTATGAAGTTCATTCTTTCTGGCAGGCATCAAATCCTGGAAACTTTGACAATGACTGTGACTACCTATGGCTAAAGAGCAGCACTCCCGAGTCAATCTACCATCATGTGAGTATAGCCACCATGTAATATATGGGGACTGGAGTCCCCATATCATCATATGGGGATTCCAGATTGCCATCATAGGCATCCTGCCACATGCAATCAGTCTTATTGTGTACCAATGCCAGGGTCTTACACTTCTTAGTATGTGTCAGGATAGGAGTTTTCTCTTTGTGTAATTGTAGCTATACCACAGTGAAATGGGTGCAGGGTCTCCTGAGCTATTATGTCCATGGGTGTCAGTTTTTGAGAGAGTGGAGAATAAGCGTATGACTGCCATGTTTTTTACATTATTGCAGGGGAGAGTCGGGATCAATACAGACAAGCCAGAGGAGGCACTGTCGGTCAATGGCAATATCAGAGTCACTGGCTGCATCGAACACCCTTCAGACATGAGGATTAAAACTGACATTCTACCGGTAAAATACACAATATATAGTACGACTAAAAAAGCAATGAGAATCAGATATAAACACTTAGCCACAGGTAGAATGGAATGGTAACACATTCTAGCTATAATTATTGCTGCAACTCTTTCGCTTTACCATTCCCTATTTCACTATTGTTTACTGTCACTCTACAAATCTCCTACAAGGTATCAAAGATTTTGCATTTTATGTAGATGCACGATTGGAAGAAGAGACAAACAAACTATCTCTAGTACTTTGACTATAGTTGCAGTACGGAATAGTATAAGATACTCTGTCTCGCTCCACCACCACAGGTTGATAGCAGTAGACAGCTGGAGAGAGTTTGTCAGATGAGGCTGTACCAGTACCGCTATAAGGACGGAGTAATGAGAGGGGCAAACCCTTCAAACGAGAGCAGGCATCAAGTCGGTGTCCTTGCTCAAGAACTGAGAGATATACTGCCAGATGCCGTTCACGAAACTGTAAGTCTTCAAAATACAAAAACTTGACAATTAAAAAACAATAGCCTGGTTATCGGTGATGATGTATTATGTCCTCATTGCAGAACACGGACGTACCGTTGTCCGATGGAGGCACAGTTTCAAAACTCTTAGTCATCAACAAGGTATGTAGCACTTGACCTGCCATTGACACAGTATGTACGGTGTTGCATACGTTTATATGTATATGGGGTTATAATACTAGGCACCAATACTATTCTTAGTTTGTTAATTATGGTGGCAAAATCGGTTATTAAAAGCTGCGCTGAATTCATTTTCTACAGGACAGGATACTGATGGAGACTGTTGGAGCTGTTCAAGGACTAAAGAAGATTGCTGTAGGTTTACGTTTTTCTGATATCCGTACACTCTGAACTACCAGTGGCTTGTTTGTTTCTAGGATGATGTAAACCACAGGTTGGACAGCCTTGAAAAAGGCTTCTCACAGACACATACTCTGAAGAATTCTAAAGACAGATTCAGCCGTGAGGTAAGTCGCCTGCAAATTATTAATGGCAGTGATGTTGATGGTTGTGCTTTGTTTTATATAGGGAACTGGAGAAACAGAGTTGGGCTCAATGCTGGGTGTCATTCTAGCATTTCTTCTGGGGTAAGTAGTCTAGCATTCTTGTTCATTTGATGAGCGACATGCCTCTGTAGTTTTAGAATTATGATTATGATTTCTTCTTGCAGGTGCTTTGTCACGTTCATCCTCATGTGCTTTATTAAGTGGGCCATCTGCTAACACACAGTAGCTGCTGTAGTCACAGTTTTTCACAGTTATCAGAATCAGTTTTTTTATCATCACACAGTCATCTTTTTTATCATCACACCTGCTTCAAATATTTTTCTACAAACTTTTTTCACATGCAGCTATTCGCTGTCTTGTACTACGCAATTTGTTACCAGAATCGCAGTTATCAGAATCATTTATCATCATACAAACTTCAAATTTTTACAGGATATACAAACATCCAAGTTGTTAACCCTCGGCGCGCATGCGCAGCGAGGGTAGTTGGGTCTGTCTGTGTGTCTGTTACTCTTCATCTTCTTTCGTCTCACAAAGGATACCACCTACCGAACGGGCAATGAAGGTCAGAAATTTCGAACGGTTTTCTCTGAAAAACGCTCCGTTGCAAAGCTAGAGCGCTTCCACCATTGTATATACGGCTAGTGTATCGACTCTCGCATGCTAATCTACTACTGTAGCTAGCCCGTGTCAGACTCTGCGAGCTATACTAGCGCGCGGGAGACCGCATACTAATATACCGCGCATGCGCAGTTCGCCGAGGTTCATTGTTAAAAACAGTATAAAGTGACTATGCATAATAATAAATAATAAATAGGGTGAGAATTGATTAAAAGATTGTTCTGGAGGCGAAAAAACGATGGAAAGTGACAGAAAAGTGTAGTAGGTGTGGTACAAAAACTAGATGGCTGATTCAGTTCTGGACGATGATGGACGATGAGTGAAGCTGTGGACCAGTTTCTTGCTGGCAGAGTTGATCTTGGTCTTGATGGAGGTATCCTGGTTCTTCCTCTTCCCCTCCTTCTGTGTTCTCTTGACTGAGACTGTGGCTGGGGTGGAGGGTGGCTGACTGCGAGGACCTGGGGCTGTCTGGTGGACAGGGAGTCTGGATGTCTGAGGACCTGTCACTGGAGACGACGGGAGATGGACTCTGCCAGTGTATCCACCCACCCTCTCCCAGTGAGGGAGGGAGTGTGGGAGGCAGTCCTCTGCTGATATCTTGGTGGTGGAGTAGGGAGTGAGGGGTACGGCTGGTGCCCTCATCCAGAGAGAGAGACGGAGCTCTGTGATGTCGTATCGCCTCTCACTGTCTGTGTTGAGCATTCCTGATCTCAGCAGATGCTTGCACTCTGGAGGAAAAGAGAGAAAGAGAGTGTCAAAATGGGTTTTGAAGCACACAATCAGATACACAGCATAATGTTAAGCTGGCATGCACACAAGAGACAGATATTAGATGGTTCAACTTTACCTGTAGTGAGGGGTTTTGGGAAGTGGAGTGGCTTTTGAATCATCTGCACAACTCGAGTGTCGTCACCATACGGAAGAGAGCCACACACCATGGCAAACAGAATACAGCCCCTGAAGAAAAAGTACATCACACAGTAAAGCACAATTATTAGATCAAATTAATATGCTCAACTTACATTGTCCAAACAGACTTCTGAGATGTTATATAGCTACAATGCTCAATAACTTACAAGCTCCAAAACGATGCTTGGTTGTAGAGTTTCTATTCACCTAGTAAAATTCATTAGTGAGGCACAGTACAGTAGTAGTAACCGTCAGAAACTCACATGCTCCAAATGTCACTTTTCTTGCCGTCGTAGGTATCTCCAGGTCTTGAAGAGAGCAGTTCTGGTGCAGCATAAGAGTAGGAGCCACAAGGAGTGGTGACTGGACTCTCTCCTCTTCCTACCAGTCGAGAAAACCCAAAATCTGCAGAGAAATACAGGACATGGTAAACACTTTGTTACTACAGAGGTATCTATCATATGAGAGAGTAAAACACAGAGTTTGTTAAGATACATAGGATGTCTTACCTCCGATCTTGACTCTCATTTCTCTGGTGATCATGATGTTCTCACACTTGAGGTCTCTGTGCACGATGTTCTTGCTGTGGCAGTGAGACACGCCGGCAGCCACTCCACGGAGGACGTAGCGGGCCTCGGGCTCGGGGAGGAACCTGCGCCAGTTGATGTAGTCCAGGAGGTCGCCGTTCTCGGCCATTTCCAGCATGAAGTAGACCTCTCGCGGAGTCTCCACCACGTGGAAGACTCGGAGGATGCTCGGGTGGTTCAGACGACGGACGACGGCCATCTCTCGAGGCAGGAACTTGTCCAGAACTTCCTGTGAGGCTCCTCGTTTCTCCAGTATCTTGATGGCGATCTGAATGGGAGAAAAACAGTCAGTAAAACAAGACGTAGCTATAGCAAAGTGCAAACTGAGCATGCAAGAAAGTGGGAGGGGCTCACCATTTTCCGCTCGTATGGACTCCACGCTGCCTTGACTTTGGCGTAGGTCCCAGAGCCGATGGTCTTGCCGATAGAGTAGTGTAGCTGCTCTGGACTCGTGACGCTGTTCCTGAAGCAGTAGGGGACCAGAGACTGGTGGTCGTCCGAGGAGGAGGAGGCGAGTCGCTGACCACGAGAACTGTTGTATCCAGCTGAAGACATCTTGAAGTTTCGTCGGAGAAGAAATGAACTGGTAGAAAACTCGTTGGGGGTTTCTGAGATGAGATGAACTGGTCGCAGATTCGTCGGAGGTTTCGGAGAAGAGATGAACTGGTCGGCTGAGGCAACTGGTGAAATTTCCACGGACAGTAGGAACTGATGATGGTTCCCGAGAGTGGCCGCATTTTATGTTGGCTCGTTCGTGCGTCACAACTTGCCTCGCCCTCTCTGTCCGAGAACGGCCGTACCGCCATTGTTTCCTGTCGGCGACCCCGTTACTAGGCTGGCAAAGGAGGGGTTACCAATCAGGCTAGAAAATGGTTTTTAGTTTATCAATCAGGCTTGAAAATGGTTTTGCTTCTACGTTGATTACTGGCGCTCCTAAAATGATTTTTAGAGCCACGCATACCTTACGGATTTTGCACATGCGCACACGGGTACATAGTATCAACCACAACATATATACACAACATGACTCTAGATGAAAAAAGAGCAAAATTGAAGGAACAAAAAAATGATAAAATTCATAATTATATTAAAAATCTGTGCATAGCTACACACACAAAGAAGCTTAAAATGCAGGACTTTGGAACATCATGATAAAAAGACGAACAAACTTAGATTATTAGTATTTTTATGATTTGTTGGTTGGCTCTGTTTGGCACGACAGTTCGTAGAGTTCGTTTTCAGATAGTCTCTTGGCAGATGTCAAGTATGCAATGATCTGTAAAGGAGAGAATTGGAGAAATTCTACTAGCCAACTATATAAGTGGTTGGCAGCATTATAGCTGGAGATTTCAGTACTGCCCAGTAGTGTCAACAAACAATGTGATGTTTTGAACATTAAATCTATTCTTGTGTCAAACTACATTCGTTTTGCAGTTATGTGAAATCCACGCTATTATGAACTATTCACATCCCCAGTTACGTGTAGCTAAAAGACCATTTTCTTATCACTGACTGGGAAAATAATTATTATTATCCTTCAAAAAGGAATAGTGGGCGTACAGTACAGTATTATCAAGGTACAGGTATAATTATATCTTACGTCCAATCTTGGCTCAAACTTGAATCTCGTTCTCTGGTATACGAGTGCACGTCCCACCATATCTGCCAACTGCATAATAATTATTACATCATAGACATTAATACAAATGCAACTCTAATCTCAGCAAAAACTATTTTAGGTCTCCTCTATCAATGAATGCTTGTTTGAGAATAGGGGACACATGAGAAAAAGTCTCGCCAGAAATCAATACTGCTACACAATATCTGCTGACAAACAGATTGTTCAACTCTACAATCGTGCAGCAGGCACGGTGTCTCTAAAGGTAAGGGACATTTTGTCAAACCTTTGTCATCTTGGTGAAGTTGACTAGGCCGTCCTTGTTGTATGTTTTGGTGCACATCTCCAGTGAGTAGATCTGGTCCAGGTAGGCTCCAATGTATGGCAGGGCTGCTGGCAGCTCACTATAGTCATACAGTTGAGTATTATAGCAAAGAATACTGAGTACTGAAGTTAGTTAATCTGAAACAAATTGGACTCTAAATTGGATACGTTTGTCTGTATGTATTATAGAACGATGGGTGTGTTAGACATATTTGTTGGAAAGTGCAACAAAATGTAATCTCCCCTTACGTATCTTGGATTGAAGTTGATATAACCTTAATACGCATGTAGATGATTTTGCGAGGAATATCAAGGGATAAGTTACAATTTGCATCAAATTGTCCAAACAGATTGTGTGGATTTATGAAACAGTTGCTCTATACATGGCACAGTAGTAAGAGGGAGTGGAGGTGTGGTACTGTGTCAACAAACCCAGTTTTCTGGAGATGTTCAGATGTGGTTTGCTCCAGTCTCTCTCTCAGCTTCTTGCAGCGACCTTGGTAGTCTGACAGCTCTCGCAGCTTCTTCAGTTTGTCTCGAAACTGCAACCAGATGTGTACAACAATGTTACTAATTAAGGCATATTATGTATGTATCGTACCATTAGGAATAATACTTAGTTAACCAGGTAGTAGATGGAAGTGGTAGGTAATATTAAACAGGTCACGAAGGAAAGAGAATAGAGTAATTTTCGGGAGACAAACTCAGATGTTGTGAGTGGAAGACCAGTGTACTACATACTAAGCACTGAGCTACGACTCCCTGACAAGAGCCAATCCCTCTTGTACTACTGCCAGCGATCATCGTCTATCTTTTCCTACTATACTGTAGTCTCAACTTCACAGCGGCGGATCCAGGGGGATTACTTGGGTTCCACAGAACCCTCCATTTTGTCGTTTTGTGCGCATGCGTCGCCAGCCTCGTGCGCGCACACACGAGCGCAGTTGAAAACATTCTGAACAGCGGAACCCCCTTTCGTAATCCTAGATCCGCTACTGCTTCAGCACGAGTTTGCCCAGTGCATAGTCTGGTCCCTACTACTTTCTACACGGCAACATTCCCTTCAATGGTGACTGTACGTATATGCACAATAATATTTCTAACCTTCTTATCGACTTCCTCCCAAGTTTTCCGAAGTCCTCTAATGATGGAGGACGATAGAGCAATGGTGATGTTGAGAGAGCAGTGGAGGTCGTTGTGTCGGTAGCAGTAGAGGGCAATCTGGATGAAATTCTCAATCACGGTCGCCCGACTGCTCGCCGACTCTCGAACCAAGATCTCCGTACATACCCATGATGTCATCTGTGGGTAATAGAGGTGCAGTAACTGGTACCAGTATGATTGGAACCTTTAAATCTCAAATGTATGGGCATAATGCAGGACAACCTGTGTCATCCCAACATACTAAGTACTACCGTACTTAGTGATATGCATGCAAAGATCATGATGTACGTACTGCTGAACAATTAATCATAGTCACAGACTAAAGCACGTAAGCTATCACGGGTGCAAAGTATGCACCTCGTTCGTTCTTCTGATGAGACGAGTGACAGTTAGAGCCTTCTCTTCTCTGTCAGGTTTCTTCCAGTTCACATTCAGTAGTTCTCTGTGTGGCCAAGAGTGGAGAGAATTATTATAGGTAAAGTCGAGACAAGATGGACTGTGGGAAATAAGCTTAATAGGGATAAGGATAGTTGCAGCAGAAAGAGTAGGGGACAGTAAAACATACTCCAACTGTAGTCAAAATGTATTAGGGACGGTTTATCCCTTCATTCCCTTGTGTGCCCACAAACTGACCGTCTTCTCACTGCCTTGTAGACGGCAAACTCGAGCAGAGTCATTTGCTCCGAGATGACTTCGGCATGTTCTCTTTGGAGTCCTTTGAGAAGCTCTTGCTCAGATCAATGTGCCTGCAGCCTGGCTGCTTCTGACTGGTGTCCCACGTGAAGTGTTTCACCAGGTCAGGCTATGTAGGTGAGGCAACAACAATACTAAGTAAAAGGAATAGTTTACAAGATCAGGGTATAAATGGCGAGCGAAGCGAGCCCACCTAGGCGTCTGAATGCGGAATTTTTACATATATCTGTAACGGACCCACGGACCAACATACCGTAGTGTTTACGTGATTCTAAATACGTGATAAAATATGCGAAATATTGAAATGCCCGCTTCGCTCGCCAACAATGCAATTGCATTCCTCTAGTTCTACATATGGGGAAGTGAAGCACTGCATCAAGTGAAAAAGCAAGGCACATGTATAAAGGTGATACAATACGTTTGCCAGAACTATTAATGAGCGAACACAATGTTCAGGGGTTATATCATTACGTCGAATTGTGAACGTCAGACGACTAGGTAGGCTCATATCGTTTGCCAAACGGAATTCAAACACAAACCACTAAGTTTTATATTATAGTAAAAATGTGCGGATAAAAAACACTATGTACAAATGTGCATCAATGTCTTTAGAGACTGAAACATTTATGAAAAACCAAATAATTTATGAAGTGAAAGACAAATAGTGACTGTTACTACATGATTATTATTACCTCCAGATGATATGTCCTACTGAGAAGAGAAGGGATGGAACGGTCATCGGAATACCCTGCAGTCTTTTTCGTCACATCACTGCATAAGTAAACGACAGTGCAACCACATGAAACTCTTATCCTCAACAACGAATAATATTTTTTAAAAGAGGCAATTTTGTCATTTTTACTTCATGACACGCGCTTATTGATGCGGGGTTGCTAAAATGGTACGATGGTTTGTTGCTAACTCCACTAGTTGCCCACTGCTTAGTTCTGAGCTTCTTGATGGGGTTGGTACGATGGCTTGTTGCTAACTACACTAGTTGCCCACTGCTTAGTACTGAGCTTCTTGATGGGGTTGGTACGATGGTTTGTTGCTAACGACACTAGTTGCCCACTGCAAATATTGCACTAGTGAAGAAACTAACTCGAGTATTTTCTGTCCCATGAGGGCTTCGCTGGAGTCAGAGCAACTGGTTGCCAGGAGTCCCCTCAGGAAGCTGCCCAGCATCAGTGTCAGACTTGCGTCCTCCCCAAAGTCCTGAGAATAAAGAGGGCATCATTTAGAGCAACACATAGATTACAATTTGTAACGATAAAGTTTGGTGATCATGCCGGTAAGTAACCACTTTCCATTATAAAACGGAATTTCCCCGGCTATGCAAGATTAGAAAGCTCTATGTGGTAATCAGAGAATTACGAGGAGAGAAAAGCATATAGCAAATGAGTGAGTGCTAATCAAGTACATCCACATGTATGCATACAGACCTCAAAGTGCATGTCCTGCCAGTAGTCGATGACCTGGAATATCTTTACCACCAGAGACATTGGTCCGGATCTGCTGAAACTTGCCCTCGAGTGCTGGGAGCCGTTGCCGGTTTCAGTCAGTGGTTCCAGCTTTATACGTATATGTATATTATACAGGGTTAAAAGAATACAGGATAGCCGCATAAAAATCATGATTGGCGAGTGAGCCAACTTAGGCTAGGTTCACACAATATGTTTCATTGCCCTGTCGCACCGTGCCACATCACCGCACCGCGAGGATAGCTTCGCGGCAGGACATGACGGGGCAATGCAACATCAGTGGCAGATCTAGGATTTTGAACAGGGGGGTTCCGCTGTCCAAGAATGTTTCGACTGCGCTTGTGCACTCGCACGAGGCCGGCGACGCGTGCACTCAAACCGATAAAAGGGCGGTTCCGCGGAACCAAAGAAGCCCCCCCTGATCCGCCACTGAACAATAATAAAACATAATTGTGAACCTCAGTTAGCATAAGTACACACCTTGTCTCCAGATACAGAATTCTTTCTTCGTAGAGACAGCCTCCTTGGGAGCTCCCTCGATGGCGACTGATGCTCCGAGACTCGACTACCCACGTCGACAATATCCTCCGCGTCGAATTTGAGCGACGTTTCTTCCGACTGTTTCTCTTCCATATTCCCTTCAGACTGCTAACCGCACTGCGACCGACACTTGCCGACTTTTGCGGTGTCTTCGGTCCCCCGTTTTCGACCGCCGCTGTGCTGGTGGTAGTAGAATGAGGGAAATAAGCAGAGGAGCTTTTAGTAAGAGCCGGTCGTTTTCCGCCGTATCGTGCAGGGATTTGCCCTCCTTCGGATTTCTTTCCCGTTTCCGCCATGACTCTGTCGTTTTTCATCGCTCGATTGCTTCCTAAACGGACTCATGACGGATCCTTTCGCCGTGTTTCTTGTGTTTTCCGGACATTGTAAGGCTGCTCTCTGCCGGTACATGTGTCGGACTGCTCAAAGACCCTACCATCAATCTATTGGTGTGTAGAGGGCTCATCATGGCAGGACCGTGGAGGAAGGGAGAAGGAGAGAAACGAATGACTGGCGGATGATTGGCTGAGGGAATTGGTGAGCCTGTCTGTCGGCGTTCCAGGTCTCCGGGTCGAAGGGTTTGGTACCGGAATGGAAACTTGGCCATGCCCTCTCTTGATGGGTGGTGGACTGGGGCTCTTCTCTATACCAATCTATGAGACACACATGTTCCCAAGTCAATAAAAGATAAAAACCTCTGTCCTTCTGTAAAATACATTTGTAAACGTATAAATCTCAAATGTTTAGCATAATGCAGGACAACTTGTGTCATCCCTATAATTTATACTAAGTACTACCATACTTAGTGATATTATTGTACCTCTTATACTTAATGGTGTTTCCAAGAACAACCCATATTATGACATGACTTTATGACTGATGTGTCCCTAAAAAGAACTCTTTATAAGAACGTAATACAGTGTCCTTTTTAAGAGAGAGGTGTCCTCATTTCAGGAGAGAGGGGTAGTTATCTCAAACATACCAGTGTCAGGTCAGGCTCGGAAATGGAGGCCGAGACGGTAGAATGGCGAGACTTTTTCCAATCTCTGTGCACCCTCTTCACCACCCCTCCCCCCTCACCCCTTCCTACCCCTCCTCCCATCTCCACCGGAAACAGACTCTGCGTCAGCTTCTCCAACATGATCGCTGTCTCGTCCAAGTCCCGGTTGATCTTCTCTGAGATGGTGAGTTTCCGTCTGTCTACGGCCGTTTGGACGTGGATTCTGCCATCGCCTTGACTCCCTTCTTCCTCTTCGATACTCATCTCCCTGATTTTGAAGTGCTCGGCTTCTGCCCTCACTGAAGACATGTCTCCATTCTGTAAGATACATCATGTTGTATGTATGCTGAAGTTAACTTACTGTATGTATGTAGATTACCAGCTAAGACTATATACCTTACACAATTCGTACACACTCTACGGGCAAGAATACGGGGGCTTTTTAATGATTAACATGCCGCTGGCAAGCAGATAATCACGTTGGTGGAGTCCCCGCCTATCTCGAGCGCCATAGCGCCAAATTCCCACCCCTGCTAACTTTTTACACAATTCGTACACACTCTACAGGCAAGAATACGGGGGCTAAGAGAGCTCAACAAACATCGCGTAAGTGTGCAATACAGATAAGTTGCGCGGAAAATTTAGTGAAAAAATCAGCGCGATTCAATGGTGACTTAGAAATTTAGTTACTCTAATTCAGATACAGTATTGTACATTGGAAGGGGTGAAAGAGATGCAAAGAACAGTGAAGTGAGAAGCGAGGATAGTGTTGCTGATTCTACCCTTCAACTATAGCAAAAGTACAAGAGAAGCTTGGTTTGACCATCAAAATCCCCAACATGTTTACGCAGACCTAGGGTGACTTCGAAATTTATAGTTACTCTAATTCACATACAGTATTGTACATACATATGCATATACCTTAGCACATGCTCTGCTTCGTAGGCCCATGAGGTCAGTATGGGACGGCCGTGGGGTGTCAGCACTGTCGTCGTTTCCACTGTCCTCGTCTCCGAAATCCATCTCCGAACTGTTTCGAGAGGATCGGAAGAACGTCACGTAGTCCGTCTCTGAATCACCTGCAGCGGAAACGGTTCAATATTTAGTGGAACTTGGAAGTGTGTGCCTCCTTGTACTTATAGAGTGGTTTGTAGAGTTACAAGGGAATGTGGCAGTTTAGAGCTGGGTAATTGAAATCGCGCAATCTGATTGGTCCATGCGCGGACTCTAATTGTACATAGAATGTTTAGTAGAGTTAAGGGAATGTGGCCGTATAATAAGGGCTAAATTTAGAAAATGTTGCTAAAGACTGAAACCTAATTGCACTGGGCCCTTCCATTTTAACAGTTCTATGTTTAGCCAAAAATTAGAAACATCACACAATTCAGACAACATTTCATTTCAAACACGCCACTGTTTTATGCGTCACATGCACAAAGCACTATATGGTGTACGGATGAACATGGCCACTGTAAATCGTGCACAATTAGGATGAGCTAGGATTGCTCTGTTTGGCAATCACTTACCAGAGCTGGCTCGAGGATAGCCGGACGGGATCTTGAGATTGCTGCTCCATCCGTTCTGGAGGATCCCGTTTTCCACTACGGCGACGTGTGGGGAGACACGTCGCTGTCACTGGTACTGACACTCGTCCGAAGTGAAGAGCTCTAACGGAAGAAAGATATTTAGTTAGACTAGGAAAAGAAGAGGTTTGCACACTTATTATAGACTAGAAAGCACTGGTACTGACACTCGTCCGAAGTGAAGAGCTCTAATTGAGTGACGGAAAAAAGATATTTAGTTAGACTAGGGAAAGAAAGGTTTTTTTCCAAGATTTTAGAAGATCTGCACACTTATTGTAGACTAGAAATAGAATATTATGCTCCCACATAATATGTATCCTATAAAGGTATATAGGTAAGAAAGAATGAAGTAAAGTGAAAAAGAGGAAGATGGTGTGTTTACCTTTATAGGTGTGCTGGTAGAAGAAGACATGGCACAGGTCCTTGCTCTAGTTGGTACTGGTGAGTTCAGTGATACTGCACGCAGAGAGAGAGAGAGACACGTAAGTATGAACACAAGTTGAATTACAATCACATATGTACTTATGTCGTATCCATGCAAAGTTCAAGGCAAAAGCAAAGGCAAACAGCACAGCTACATCAAGGACGACTCCTTTTCTCCACGAGAGGGTTTTATTAAAGGCACAAGAGTTCCTTTATATACCATCATGTATGACTTATCACTTATAACCAGCCACAGACACATAAATGTGTCCAGAGCCTCAATAAGTCCATAAGAATTTATATGGGGGTTATAATACTAGGCAGCTAATACTTTATACACCAATTTCTGCTTATTTAGGCAAATATCCATGGCGTCCAAAGGATTATCCTTACTTTGATCCGTATCAGAGTATTCAGTCACATTCATATGTCTGTCAGTTTCAACTGGCTCTGCAAGCAAGGGAATTTCAAATCTTTACCAGTTGTTGTAATCACGTGCAATAATAATATAATGCTTAGGGTGGCAACGTCGGATACAAACAGAATATCTGGAAATCAAACGACTAGGTAGCTTCACTCGCCAACAATATACTATGCTGTACCTGCCATTCCATACTGAAGGGCTATACTTCATTCCATACTGAAGGGCTATACCTGATTCCATACTGAAGGGCTATACCTGACTCCATACTGAAGGGCTATACCTGATTCCATACTGAAGGGCTATACCTGATTCCATACCGAAGGGCTATACCTGATTCCATACTGAAGGTGAAGACAGCATTGGCAGAAAAGTGAGCTCCGCTATCGCTGAGTCCTCCGGGCGACTGCATGCAGTTGATGAGGGCTTCAAGGACGTCGCGAGAAGTCGTGAAACTGAGGTGAGTCATCAGAAACACCTGTCAGGGAGGGAGCGAAGGGGAGTGAAAACGTACGACGAAAAGGCGAAAATGGCATAACGCGAAAATAGTGAAAATTGGTCTATCATGTGGCATGGATGTCAGTCTCCTCCAGGGTATGTAGCTTTTAAAAGTGTTGTCGTCCTGGGTGTTGTTAAATAGTCAGTGGCGGATCTAGAATTTTTAATGAAGGGGGGAGGGGTTCTGCTGTCCAGAACGTTTTCGACTGCGCTCGTCGGCACGAGGCGCAACGCATGCGCGCAAAACGACACAAAAGGGGAACCCTCCCTCCCTCTCTTGGATCCGCCACTGATACGTAGTTGGATGTGTCTTGTGTTGACACGTGCATGATTCATGCAGAGTAAATGAACGACGAATGAAAAATAGATCTAAAAATAATTATTTCAAGGTTTACTCAATGTTTCTCCTCACGTCAATAAAGTCGTCCTGGAAGTTGTGGGGACTTGTCAACTGTTGAAACAGCTTCTCCAGTGATGCTGCTGCAATCTGTGAATCACAAGCACGTGTCAATTCGCATCTCAGTATCAAAATGAAATTTTTGCGGACAAAACTTTCGCAAGTTGCTTTTCCCACTGATACCCCTACCAGAAGAAAATCTTGCAGACACAACAGCTTTCAAAGTCAATTCCACTGTATATTCAGCTACAGCTGTCTAAATGCGGAATTTTTTATGTAACGACCCACGGACCAACATACTTTACATGATTCTAATTACGCGCTAAACACGTGCGAAATATTGAAATGCTCGCACCGTAATGTTTTACGTGATTGTAAATACGCGCAAAAGGCGCGTTGAACTTCTCGCACTCGCTCACCAAACAATACATTTCACTCCTCTAGTACTCCAGAATATCTTAATATTATGGTCATTGATGTGTGTGTTGTGTGTATCAAACCTTGGGGCCAGCATCAGGGTAGACTTGAGCGAGAGGAATGTCCTCATTATCACACAGACCCTCATGAGCCGCCTCTTGTATACACTGTGGCAGTAGGACGGGCAATACATTGTAACTGACGAGCATTTAGGGTGAATGGCGAGCGTGCAGCCCGTTCAGCATTGCCTATGAATATCCATGCTTTGCGCACGAGTTACAATTTATGCGGTCCATCTTCAATCAATCAAGTGGACATTTATAGATGCGCATGCTCATGTACGTATATAGCAAATCTTTCCTGGTGACACCCTTGTACATGTAGTCAAGGCAACACTGCCGATTCTGTAGCTAGTTTATCGGACGTAAACACAAACTGTGCAGATGGCTATGACTTGCACAACAATAATGTTGTTTCAAAGAAACACGTCACCACAGAATATGCGAGGAACGAAGAAGTGAGGAGGAAAAGAGGCAGAAAACAAAATACCATCTTCTGGGTGTACACAAGGATCATCTTTACTTCCTATGGCCTACAAACTAACACGGCTAAGTGCTCCACATCATTACTTCCTATGGCCTACAAACAACATGGCTAAGGGCTCCACATCTTTACTTCCTATGGCCTACAAACAACACGGCTAAGGGCTCCACATCATTACTTCCTACGGCCTAGGGGTAAGGGCTCCATATTAGCAATGGTAATTATGGTCAAATCAACAACACAACACAAAGGGAAAGAAGTGCAAACTCTGTTTAATCTACGTACGTGTAGCTAGATGCTCAAATCAACAACACAACACTAAGGCACACAGAGTGCATAACTCGTGCGCATGATGGAGTTACTGAACAAAACTCCCTATCATAGCCCCATACATCTATGATGCTAGGTATATACCATGCCCATCCCTATATACTTAGTACTACCGTACTTAGTGATGAACAAAACTCCCTATATCATAGCCCCATACATCTATGATGCTAGGTACCATGCCAATCTCTATATACTTAGTACTACCGTATTTAGTGATGAACAAAACTCCCTATATCATAGCCCCATACATCTATGATGCTAGGTACCATGCCAATCCCTATATACTGAGTACTACCGTACTTAGTGATGAACAAAACTCCTATATCATAGCCCCATACATCTATGATGCTAGGTACCATGCCAATCCCTATATACTGAGTACTACCGTACTTAGTGATGAACAAAACTCCCTATCATAGCCCCATACATCTATGATGCTAGGTACCATGCCCGTCCCTATAATATACTGAGTACTACCGTACTTAGTGATGAACAAAACTCCCTATATGATTATCATAGCCCCATACATCTATGATGCTAGGTACCATGCCAATCCCCATACATCTATGATGCTAGGTACCATGCCCATCCCCATACATCTATGATGCTAGGTACCATGCCCATCCCCACTTATGATGCTAGGTACCATGCCCATCCCCATACATCTATGATGCTAGGTACCATGCCCATCCCTATATACCAAGTACTACCGTACTTAGTGATTCCTCACCATTTCCAGAGCCTCGACCCAAGCCTTTCTCAGATTAGGTTTGGCCACTCTGAAATATAGACTCTCCTTGCTCACAAAACTGACCCTATAGTTAACAAAAACTGTGTGATTAAAAACTTTATTGACTGTACGTATTTCGGATAATAAGATACTTATTACGTACTCGAGACAGTTACATTATCGTTAAGTAAATGTAGGCGTTGCCACTTGCCACTCCGGTGTGGGCCATGTTTGTAACCTAGAACTACTTTCTTTGCAGCTACATCTATATATACAGAGAGAAATGAAAGTTAATTGTTGAAATCCTTAAGTTACAGCATTATAGCTATACACACACTAACCTCCCCATTTTGCCATGTTATGTATGTGAAAAAAGAGATCGTTGCCATTGTTCGTGGTTTGTGGTTTGTGCAAAGTATAGGTAGATTACTTCTCAGCTACATGTATACCGAGATAAAGTATTTGACATCTCCAGAAAAAAAAGCTAAAGCTCATACATACAAACATCACATGGGCAACTTCTCTTGTTTTACGTACCTAAAAGCCAGTAGATCCTCTCCTCGTCCTGACTTCAGGTCAGCCGTGAGTGGTTGACCCTCAATATCTACTGTCTTATGGAGTTGAGCTCCGCACAGTGGGATCATACCGTGCTGTGGGGTGTGTGTTTGTGGGGGGAGAGGGGGAGAGGGAAGGACGAGAAACGAGCGTAGCGTAAACGAAGAGAAAGAGAAGGGAAAGAGAGGAAAAGACAATAGGAAGAGAGAGGAGGAAGGCAAGGGAGAGACAAAACATCCATAGCAAGCAAATAAACACCTACACAAACGGTAGAAAAGATATGGGAGGGGGAAGAGAGAAGAAGGAAAGCAAATACTAAGTTGAGCATGCAATCAATACACTACTTGCACTGGGAATGGCGCCATGGCCACTTAGAATTAAGGCATGAATTCTACGAAATTAAAAATGGGTTTATTCAGCTTGAGTGAGCTCTAAATAGGGAGCAGCAGCAGACCTCGAGATTCTGAGGTGTTTCCCAGTCTCGGCCAAGGCCATGTAGTTGGAGAACAGGAGGCAGAATTTCTGGACTTCCCTTCCTCCTGCCATCACCTGGTTCAGAGGTCCTGCAGACGTTAACATACATACATAGGAACCAACTGAATGGACACACCGAATGAGGGACACCTCTCTATAAAGGACACTAGCCTCAGCAGGCAGGGCCCAATACATTCAGTGGATACAGATAACTAGGTCCGTCTACAATCGCCGGACTGGACTAGTGGACTCGCACAAATTACGCCCCTGCAAAGACTTTTGATATAGGTGAGTTTGCTTCATCCTGCTATACAACTATACGTAGTAATATGGGAGCACATTGTATATACCTTGTTTGACCAGTCGGGTGTTGGAATCAAAAATCTCTAGAGGGACAGGAGACTCTGGGTCCAGTTTCTGGAGGAGCTTTATCTTCTCCTGAGTGTGGTCCCAGTCAGACTTTTCATCCTGGAGCTCCTGTTGTAGGGGCGGAGGAACATGCGGCGGAAAGTCAGGGGGAACGCAGAACTGTACTTGACCCAATTATATAGTCAGTGTAATTTACTATTAATGCTCATGTAACGTACATATAAAGTATACACGTATGTATACTAAAGCAAAACATGGACAGCACTTAAAGAGTACAAGCTTAGTCCATAGCACATAATACATGTGTTTTTAACATGATGCTTTGCATCTCATTGCAACTCCGCATATGACATACTAAACTCAAAAAGGCTTAAGTATACAGTATGTGGACAGTAAGAGTACAGTATCCATAGCTTCTATAGCTGATGTTCAGCATCCATTGAAAACTGGCATATAGTACATATTCATAAAAGAGGCTTACGTATATACAATACATACGTATTTGATTTTCCTGATGAATCGGATGAGATTGTCGGCTCTCCGGACCGACTGGTCCGATATCCCCCTCAGCTTCGGAGACAGAAACAATGTCAGCAGCTTTGAGTACTCATTCAGCTGTGTGTGGAAGAAAGGAGGGAAAAGATGAGAGAGGGCTCAGCTACTAACTGAGCTGAATCACTCATTATACAGAACATGTAATACACGGAACCTCTCTATAAAGGACAATTAGTTTTGCCCCATACCCAATGCATTAGTGTACCGAAAACAGTGGAACCTCTGAACAAGGGACACTATGGGGCCTATGATTTTGTCCCTTGTAGAGAGGTCGTCCCTATCTCGGAGGTCAAATAATACACTAAAGTATTAGCATGGGGTTGAAACAAGTGTCCTTTGTAGAGAGGTCGTCCCTATCTCGGAGGGTCCCTTATCGGAGGTTCCACTGTATATAGGACACTATAAAAGTATCCTTTATTCAGAGGTTACACTGTGTATCTATAGAGTCTCACCCTCTCACAAGGTAGAGTCAAAAGCTGCTCGAGATCAGCTCCTTCGCATCCCTGATTGCAGTGCTCCAACAGTTGAACAAACTCCTGCTTTGTTCTCAGTGCCCTGAGCTCTTTCTGTTTTTGCGGAGGTAATATGGAGAGATGGAGGAAGAGAGGGAGAGAGGAAGGGAGAGGAAGAGAGAGGAAGAGAGTAAAAGAAAGAGAAAAAGAGGAGAGCTAGTTTCTGCATGAGAAAAGCAAGCCTACATACACGTATATGCCCCAATTTCATGAGTTCGAAAGGCTGCATTTCACGGACTTGCTCAATCTCACCGAGACAGCTACATTTGCTGCAGTACGTAGTTTACATGGTCGTGACCCCTGATTGTCGTTATGCAGCCAGCGCTGAGTCAACAGTTCCCTAAAGCAACACACTACCAAAACAACTGTACTCTACTCCCATGTCACGTATGGACATATCCAGAGCATTACTGCAGTGATGTAAAGTGTATCACACTGTAAGTATATATAGTTTCGCAGGGTTGCATCGTCATTGTTAGATGTATGTATGGAAAATACCGCTACTCTCGCTGAATTTGACAGGGATGTTTATCCTGTAAAGTCCTCAACATTATATTAGAACTCTACACTAATCTATGGGGTTGGTGTGAAGAGACGTGTTTATGAGGGAATTTTGGCCCTAGCAAAGTGCTTCACACGTCACTGTACAATTAAGACATCACGGTTCAACAGTGATGTTTATAAACCGTGGCATGTCCAACATGACCTCAGCCCTTACTCTGAGGTCTCTTTCTAGTCTATCACTATTGCAGCAAAGTGTCAGAATCAGTCGCCAGCAGTTCTATAGAGTCTGTTCTGAGTGAGTCTGTTCTGGTGAGTCTGTTCTGAGTGAGTCTGTTCTGAGTGAGTCTCTTCTGAGTGAGTCTCTTCTGAGTGAGTCTCTTCTGAGGGGCGTTCTGAGTGAGTCTGTTCTGAGTGAGTCTGTTCTGAGTGAGTTTCTTCTGAGTGAGTCTGTTCTGAGTGAGTCTGTTCTGAGTGAGTCTGTTCTGAGTGAGTCTCTTCTGAGTGAGTCTGTTCTGAGTGAGTCTGTTCTGAGTGAGTCTGTTCTGAGTGAGTCTCTTCTGAGTGAGTCTGTTCTGAGTGAGTCTCTTCTGAGTGAGTCTGTTCTGAGTGAGTCTGTTCTGAGTGAGTTTCTTCTGAGTGAGTCTGTTCTGAGTAAGTCTGTTCTGAGTGAGTTTATTCTGAGTGAGTCTGTTCTGAGTGAGTCTGTTCTTAGTTGCTCGTGTCTCAAGGTGTGTTTTTGTCATGTGTTGAGTCTGGATGCTATCACCAAGAGAAAGGTCCAGGTGAGTGGGTAGAGTTCACCGGTGGTCAGACATTTCTTTTAACCCACCGTCCCTGGTTCTCAAGGCCACTATGCCTAGGCCGTTCTAGCTGAATCTCTAATGGATACTGCCCTAACCATTTTTATGAGTAGCTGGCTCTCTATTGCTAAAACTGTCCTTCATCAATTAAAGTGAGTGGCCTGCTCTCTAATGTATGGTACAGCCGTACATATTTTGATCTGAGTACTGCTCTGTGTCCATTAATGCTTTCCTGCGGACCTTATTTGGTGTTACCAGGCTATTCCAATAAGCCAGAAAGCAAGCACTGCCTTGGTCATGGTCCCAGTGTGTCAGAGGTTTCACTGTATATGTAGTGGAACCTCGCTATTCCAGTCATATACTTTGCAAAAGTGGCTGGATTAGTGAGGTTGCTGCATTTCAGGATAGGTAGGTTGATCGATTCATTCCAGAGCATTTGGCTGCTTTGGAGAGGTGGCTGCATTTCAGAGGCTCTGATTTGTGAGGCTCCACTGCATTTCGCACTTTTTGTAGGCACATGAGCAGAATAAGAGACGAGCCAACTGTGCTTAATGCTTTGACTAAAGCTGGAGTATGGAATGGTAATGTCTTCTATCTCGCTGCACCTATCCACGCAACTTCTTTCTCTCGCTGTCTAACCTGAACATTTTCCTGTCGGCTGCAGTCGAGGAAGGGATTGTAGAGGGAGAAGTTTGGGAACGTTTTCTCGAGAATGAAGAAAAACTGGTCGAGTTGGACAGACGGCGGCAGGAACTGGACTCTGCTCAGTTCTTCGAAGAGGTATCTGTGCAGGTTTAGCAGCTCAGAGCTGCAGAAAAAAGATTACATGTTAGTGTTTGTTAAATTTGGAAAATAAGCTTGTACAGATCCGTGCTTCTCTGTCAGTAGTCCTCTATATGCAACCATGACGCTAGAGTACTCGATCTTTTCTACTGCTAGAAGCTTGTTAGGCAGGCCACAAAAACTCTACACACACAAAGGCACAGCCCCTAAACTCCCTGTAAGATTACGTAATATTTTTAAAGCTTCTAGCCTCAGTTACAGTTGAGAAAGAGGAACTGAAGCTGCTGCAGAGAGACGAGACGTCAGATTTGAAGGCAGACAGCATCTTCATTGGTTGCTGGTACTGCGTGTCCAGCATGTTAGACTGCAAACATACTGGTGCATCGATTTTAGAATTGCCAACATCAACTGCAGGTTTAAAAGTAAGACGGATAGCTGTAACTAGCTATATAGAGCACACAGAGCGCTCGTGCCTGCTCTGTATGAGTGATTCAGCAGCCAGCTGAGCTGCCTCAGTAGCTCAGTTGGTGGAGCCCTTCTAGAACACAGAGCGCTCTGCCTTGCTCGTGAGAGTGATCAGCCAGCCAGCTGAGCTGCCTCAGTAGCTCAGTGGGTGGGAGCCCTCTCTAGAACACTGCCTGCATATTCACTTAAACTCAGTCATCTCTAACAGTAGTTACACACAGACTCTTGAGGGTGATCCATATGCTCATGAGATGGACTGTGCCCTCTCAGATCAACGGTTGATATCTTTTTCTTGTTCCACCTCTGGAGCTTGAGCTGCAAGAATAAAGTTACTGGACAATCACAAGTGCGCCAAGTAAGGAGGGGCGTAGCTAAAATGATTATGTTAGAGGAGCAACCTCTGGAGCTTGAGATGCAAGAATAAAGTGACTGGACAATCACAAGTGCGCCAAGTAAGGAGGGTATTCAGCAAAGTGAGGGTTGGTGAAATAGATTTCCACACCATTCTTTGAGGAATAATCACAAAACGGTCGGATGTGGAGGAAAGATGTGTGGTTGAGATCTAAAACTACATCAGATGTATAATGTTATTCCAGAGCATGTTGTAATGCTAGGTTCACAATATTATGTCCCATTGCACTGCCGCGCTGTGCCGCAATGGTTGCATCGCTGCATATGGATGGCACAGCATGACAGGGCAATGCATTGTATTCTGAACCTATGCATGTAGCTTAAGTCATGACATTCTCTCCCATGCCTCAATATAGCTCCCACCACAAAGGTCACACTACTGTGTTGGTGCTAGACAGTGGGCATGCGGGTTTTCATACACTGTGGCCATTTTTAGAGGCTGCAGTGTAGTACTCCACTGTTGCTGTCACAACTCTAGAGAGACTAGTGTCTGGGGATGCACTCAGATCCACATCAAAGGGAGGCCAAGTAGTAAATCGGAACAGACGAGGCTGCTGTTGTACCATCGTATGGATGTATCATGCATGCTCAGCAGGCTCTGTGAGTAGTACCGTGGCACTAGTGTTCTGCGTGGGATTTTTAATTTCAGGCGATAATAAGGCCAACATACGTACATACACAATGCCGAGAGAGCACTTTCGGAAGCCATGGGATCTGCTTATATTGATGTTAGCGGCTAGTATTATAACCCACATATAAATTCTTATAGACTTATGGAGGCTCTGGACACATTTATGTGTCCGTGGCTGGTTAAGTGTTAAAACTATAAAACACAACTTTGCGCAAATGAATGCAGCTCAATTACCATGGTTAAACCCCGGTGCTTCTGTACGTTGGTACAAAAGTTCGTTTTAACTAAAATACTGCATCTATAGTGTATAGACATTCGGTCGTACATACATTGTCAGCTGCAGCTCTTGTAGAGTTAGCTTCGTTCAACAGTTGTTGCTGCTTGGCAATCAGCTCACAGTAGTCCTTCCTGGTCTGCTCCCACTCTTGCGCCTCGACTGATATCATCTGCACAACAAAAGAACGTGTACGCAACGGTTATGTTGGCACTTTGTTATTTCCCAAGTACATGTAACAATAGACCATGTGATGCCAAGAGAAAAAGATGGGGAGCTCTGGACAGCGGTTTCGGGCTTGTTGGCCCTCATCAGCAAAGCATACCGCAACTTCTTTCTCTGGCATCACGAGTTTATAAAGGCAAAGTTGAGCGCAGCACTTGTGGTTTTGAACTAATGTTCTAGGATTTAAGTTCATGTCACATGTACAGCATTTCACAGGGCCCTTACTACTAATAAACCTCGTCGTATAAAACTAGTATCGACTCTCATGAGGTGTCTGGGAGGTGAGACAGACACCTCATGTTCATATGGTGTATGTTCGTTTGTTAACGGTTCCGCCCAATGCTCTGGGTGCGTGGTCTATGGCCCTAGTGCTATGGCAGCCAACTGAGTACTATTAGTATCGACTCTCATATATCTTGCCGCATTAAAATGCAGTTCAAAGAGCACTTACACATTGTAGTGTTTGTAGAGAAACTAAAAGTTATACGACGCAGCAAATGTTGTAGTGATGAGGATGCATTAACGTACTTATAATATACGCACACTTGCAAAGACCCTCAATGCAGTTCAAACGTAGTACGCACTACATAGTAGACACAAGTGTTTTTGTGAATCACCCGAATGAACGTAATATTGTCTGGCTCCTCCAAAGCTAGAATGGGCGAGCATGAATTAAATGACGTATACGCACCTATATCGACATGCAGATCCGCATGCATAATTATAATATTCCTACGAACTGGATCATGGTTTTTGAGCATGCCAGCTTGCGCATGTGTTGATGTGTGTTTACAAAAGCCCTTGTGTTTCCTCATAAACTGTAATGAAGTGTTAGCCTCCTTTCTTACAAGCAAGCTTAAGCATACGTAGGTACATGCAGCAAAAGCTTTCTCCCTTAGCTCTTACATCTTTCCAGCAAGCTCGGTCTTTTAAAAATTTACGCACAAAACCTTTCTTTCGTTAAATCTACACAAATCTGATTGTAATACTGCAACACACGTACGTACCTGAAGACGTCTTCTGCACTCCAGTATCTCAGTCAGTAAGCCCTCTCTCTCCTCCCTCCACTTCCACGTACCTCCACACCCCACCGTACTCTCGCCGTTGACGTGGTGAGGGTAGACCCCCGCTCGTCCCCGCAACTCTTCCATCGCCATGGCGAAATCGGCGCTGATCCTCCCGCTCTCCGTGTCCGCCGACGATTTTCGGCTCCCGATGCTGGAGACCTCGGAATCCACAGCCGTGTGGCTCATGTGGAGTGGAATGGAGCCAATACCGAATGGGGAAAACCGACCTTGTGGCGACATCGATCTACTCCTCGTAGAGCGAGGGGCCGCCCCCTGGGGGTTAAATTCTCGCGACCGCCGGTTCCCCTCTGGCGAAGACTGCCCACTGGAGAGCGGAGAAGAGGCCAACAGCCGGTGGTGGTCCGCAACAACTTTACGATAGGGGGAGACCCCCAAGATGAGCGGCCCCCTGAAATTCGGTGAGGGGTCCATGGAATTCCAAGGGGACCGAGCGACAGTAGCCGAACCATTCATAGACATGATGGGCTAGAAACACATGTGTGCTACTGTATGAAGATTCTCAGTTGTGATTACGACAATACGGTCAAGCTCTGCAGGTGAAGGAAGTGCATGAGGTAGAAGGTTAGTGAATGACAATTGATACATAAGAGTAAGAGCTAACGTAGCATCATTTTTTTCTGCAGATATGTCGTCATTTGAAAGTTCTGCCAACAATTTTCACTCGCATTGCACTGTGGTGTCAGAAAAGAGGTACATACGTACATACGTTACATAACGTGAATGGCCAATGTACGTACCACGTACTGTACTGTGTAATGCAAACTTTTATCCATGAATGTACCACTGTACTGAAGTCTATGCTATATCGTGGAACTCGGGAACCGAAGAAAGTAGTGACATTTTCTTATTTCAGGGGTTATAGTATTGGACACAAGGACTGTTCTCGAAGAAAACATCATATCAGGTGACCTCATTTCAGGGGGTCCTTAGGCTTTACTACGTAGTTGGTCCTTAGCAGAGAGGGGTTTCAGGATTATAGTGAACCTAACATGCTACATGACCGGCAAGGCCAGAAGAATGCAGATGATTAGGAGCCACCTGAGAATGACATCACCTGTGGATAGCAGTGGTATCCCAATTGTGTTTTGATGTGGAGAATTGTGTAATTACTTAATGTGCTCTCTCTGGGGCTATTATCCACTGCATGTGCAGCTGACAAATTTGCAAATACTGAGGGTTATTTACCCCAAATGAACTTCTATTATCCCAAATGAACTTCTACCAAGGCAGCTTGGCTGGCTGAACTGAATCACTCGTACAGAGCAAGGCAGAACAATCTGTGTTCTAGAGAGGGCTCTACCAACTGAGCTACTGAGGCAGCTCAGCTGGCTGGGCTGAATCACGGATACAGAGCAAGGCAGAGCACTCTGTGTTCTAGAGAGGGCTCTACCAACTGAGCTACTGAGGCAGCTCAGCTGGCTGGGCTGAAACACTCACACAGAGCAAGACAGAGCACTCTGTGTTCTAGAGAGGGCTACCAACTGAGCTACTGAGGCAGCTCAGCTGGCTGGGCTGAATCACTCATACAGAGCAGGGCAGAGCAGTCTGTGTTACCTTCAGAGCTACCGAGGCAGCTCGGTCAGTTGTGGTTAAGAGCCAAATCACTCACAAGTACTGAACAGCCCGTAACCCAATGATCATCCACGCTAACAACCTTAACACACCCCAAACTCCCAAGCCCACGATAATTGCTAAAAATAACAAGTTGACATGCCTACAAACCTCCCCCCTCTAGTACATAATCCGGTAAAGCTCTATCCAACCTACTCATGGGCATTAAGGCACGTCCCAGCACTGGAAACACCCAAATGCTGTATCTCCAAAACTAAAGGGGTTACACACATCAAACCTGAACAAGTGTTTGTAAACAACAACAAATATCGACCACACCCACAAACACGGTCACGTGATCCATAGTGGGCGTGTACCGTCCGTATTTTACGTCATTTGTTTGGACTAGCAACGGTAAGGAACTAGCCAACGAAGGAATATTTCACTTATGTCAAACAGTAAAACAAGTAGCGAAGTCATTATGTTTTGAATGGGAACTGACGAAACCTTCCCGTAGCCGTCTTATGATGGCTTTCAGGTTACCGGCTACAATTATGGCGTGGCAAATGACTCATACCTCCGCTAAACGTAAGAGCCGACCGTTCCAATCCGAGTAGGTGAAAGAGCTATCCGTCAGCTGTCTTACGAAGGCAGAGCTATAGCTCCTTCACTGCTCTCCACTTACCGTTGCCCGGTTTTAGTTAATCGTACAGCGCGATTGCTGCGTCTCTAGAACGAATCTGAGGTCAAAGGTGAGAACATTGTGCGCATGCGCCCTCCAGCCATGCGCGCGGCGGTAAAACTCAACCAGCTGACATGACAGAGCTAGAGATGCGTCAGTCTGCGCTTTTTCTATATTCATAACACTAGAAAAAACATTAGGCATAGTTTTAGGTACATGTACACAGGTCCCGTTAACTCTCGACGTTGTGCGCTCACACCCGATCGATCGACCCCCACACGTACGTACGTGTAAGCGCCGGCGCGCGCGCATTACGTTTCAAAATTTCTACGTTGTGCGTAAAGTGCGCGTAGAATTATTTCGGGACGCGCCTTAACGTCCCTGAGTATTGTAACACCATCCAAACCTAGCACCCATCGTTAACAGCCAACCACGCTACGCACTGCCCAATTGAGTGGCAGAACTAATTTGAAGTGTGTTTTGTGCCAAGAATTCTGCAGTGGAGGGTAGGCCAAGGGCCACATTTGCTTGCAGGGAAGACACCTGATCTGGCAGACACCCCGCTGTGTGGTATGCCTGTCGGGGTACCACCCTTTTTTGAAAAACCGCAGGGTGTCCCTGGTGAAAGAGGCCGATGTGAATAATCTAGAAACTTCTCCAAGGAAGTGTCAACAGACGAAAGTGCCCATATTGGTGATGTTTCATATTTTGAATTGCTTGCAAGACCTGTTCTTGGAGAAAGACTTAGAGTGTCCTCATTTTAGGGGTTTTCTTTGCACTGCGTTAAACATTTGTAGAGGAAAGGCTACATAACATAAACAATTAATGTGCAGCAACATATCACGTCTTATTACTAAATATGCACCTTCACGAATTCCTCGATTTAAACACTTTACCATAAACGTACATGAACACGTCGCGTCACTTAATTACCGCGCATGTTTTTCACCAAAATTTTAATGACAATTTGGCTCGTAAGCTAACAACCATTAAACCTCAATTTTATACCGCGTATAATGCATTAGTAGACTTTTTGTAAACAAATACATTTTTGGAGGGAAACGTTTTTCATTTGAGGCATGGCAAAGGATGGACAGCAAATTAACCTCTTCGGGTTAAAATTTAACCTCTCCATAACAGGTTAAACTTCTGAGAGACTGTAAGCCTCTTCTAAACAGATTAAACTATTGTGTTGTTGCTCGATGGAGAGGTACTAAATGCACTAACTAAGTCGTCCACTCTGGTCAACAAGAGCAATGAAATTAACACTGTTCCTACAAATAAACACGTAAAACTTGACTATATTAGACTAGGGATCTCCAAGCTACAGAGTTAGTTACTAAATGATGTCTATATAATACTATGAACTTTACACCCACTCCAGATTAATAACATACCACTCCAGACTATTACAGTGACATACAGCAACTAAGATGCTGCTGCAATGCCATACATGGTATCAAAACTCATCTCCTGTATATTACAAACTGTTCCTGCACTAAACCAGGACTTTGTACCTTTGTTTTACCACAAGGATGCTACAGCACTCACCTGTGTCTCGGTTCAAAGGGCAGCTATTAATCCTAGGAAAAAACGTGGGTATATATAGCTGCGTTGTTTCTTTCACCTTGTTGTTGATACAACAAGGTCATATTTGGTACAAGTTGAAAATTGAAACTGAAGATTAACAGCTCATATACAAGTCAAGTTCCTCATCTGTTCAACCTAATAGTGTTCAATGAAGGTGTCTGTTTTTTCTGAAAGCTAATGGTTACCCTGGAGGTCATTCTCAAAGTCTATCATCACCCGAAAATGCTACATGTATACCAACTGCTGCAGCAAGTGATTATTGTGGAGTCACTTCCTGTACAGGAAATTACATCATCGTAATCCAAGATTCCTAAGATCGACTGATAATCATTAATTGCGACAGGTTTTTCTACATTTAAAAGCAAACAATGATGTGCACACTCAAGCACAAGCACTTAGCAACGTAAACAAACGAAGGACTGCTGAGGTTGTAAAAAAAGCAGTTTTTTATACAACATTACACAACATTATACATCAGATCTAAGCAAGCGTTATTTATGGAAAAGGGTCCTCTATAATGAGAGGTTACACAATAAAACATTCACACAAACAGAAATGCTATTTATAGTATCGTGTTATGCGTACGGATTTGGGGCATCAGCGGATTTTTCTTGAGCAAACCTTCGATATGATAGCGCAGAAAAAATGTTTGACTCCACTTATACTATCAGCTACAGTAACACTGGCTGCACACACCATAGATGTAGAGTCAGGGGAGTACAACTCACTGCGAGATAACCGTGGACTGACTCTGACATCTATGGTGTGTGCAGCCAGTATTATACCGTAGCTGATAGTATAACACATATTTTCTGCGCTATCATCCGCACATCTGTGTGTAACCTTCCTCCCATTTCCCTTCACAAATCTTCGTCTGTTATTACACGCACTTTTAAACGTGCGTACTATATATGACTATAATACGTATGCACGTAGTACAACTCTAAAGGGGAAATATGCTGGGACCAAGTATGGAAACAGAAACTGCAAGCAAAGAACAAAGGAACTGCACAGGTAAACATAAGCACAGGGGCAAAGTTGAAACAGATGGTCTCACAGATGGTGAAATTCTTCTATTCACATCGTATAAATACCAACTTACAAACGAATATTACACAAGTACACGAAAGTACAGAGTTGCATTTGTGAAGGGAAATGGGAGGAATGGGAGAGAGAGAGACAAACACACCGAAGGATGGATAGAAAGAGGCAAGAAATGAGGGAAGGGAGGGAGAGTAGGGGGAAGAAGAAAGGAGGAGGGAGGAGGGGACAGCAGGAGGAAGAGAGGGAGTGAGGGAGGGAGGGAGGGGAGTGAGGGAGGGAGGGAGGGAGGAAGGAGGGAGGAGCAACAAGCTAAAAGGTACATTCAAACTGTATTCGACAACCTACACCTCCAAAAATGACACACAGACACACATTTGAGGTCAACAAACACGAGCAGACGGTCAGAGTAGACCACCCCAGCAACAGCCTTCGGGGCGGGCCAGAGAACTCGCTACCATCCCTAGCTACTGCCATATGGCTGCTGTCCATTGGCGGGCACGGCCAATAACTAACTGAATTCCAGACTTGGCCACGGGCAGGCTCAGACAATCAACGTATTACACACAGTCATACATCTTGCTATCGTTGGCATACATATTAAGTAAAGTCTGGCTCGGAAAGGGTACCAACTGCAGGATATATACATAACGTAGTCTGATTTCA